GGACAGGTGTCAATCCATATCTGCCAAGTGACCCGATGTAGGGGGAACAGTCCCTATTCTGCTCTGTGTCAGTGTGTATCAGGGATCCTTAGGACAGGTGTCAATCCATATCTGCCAAGTGACTCCTATGTAGGGGAGCAGTCTCATTCTGCCTGTGTCCGTGCACTGTGGGCTCTGAGGACAGGTGTCAACTGCTATGTCAAGGGGTGTCAATATGTCATATGTCAGGTGTCAATCCATATTGATTGTGATTTAGGAATGTTAGGTGATTTCTGCCCTTTATGGATTAAAACCAGACTCTGTATCAACTGTGTAATTTTCCATGGGAGTTTTGCCATGGATCCCCCTCCGGCATGCCACAGTCCAGGTGTTAGTCCCCTTGAAACAACTTTTCCATCCCTATTGTGGCTAGAAAGAGTCCCTGTGTGTTTTAAAATTCGCCTCCCCATTGAAGTCAATGGCGTTTCGGGCGGTTCGCCGGTTCGCGAACATTTGCGGAAGTTCGCGTTCGCCGTTCGCGAACCGAAAATTTCGGGTTCGCGACATCACTAGTTACTATCTGTATATGGATGTTTTATTGGAATGTACAGTAAAACTAGCTACTATAAATTCTACCTTGATTTCAGCTCTTGTGCATTTCTACAAATATATATAAAACTCTACTCTTTGTTTGGCTCCTCAATTAAACTGTCTTCTGGATGCCCTCTCTCCTTTATACAATTGGTTGTTGTTTTTTTGTGTGTGTTTCTTGTTCTCCCCTCCCAGTGTTGACTGTGCCCTCTATATCCATGTTACTTTTCATCCCCCATGACACTTGTCCTATTTTATGCCATGTGCACCTTCCCCCTACACATTTCACTTGGCCATTCTATCTTCACCGTTTTCGCTTCCTTTCCCATGACACGTGCCCCATGCGCTCCTTCCCTCCCTGACTGGGCCTATTAACTTTCTTTCTACCAGTGCTACTGGCCCCTGTGTTTTGCTGCCTCTGACCTAGAGTCCATACAGTCCCTCCTCCTTCTCTTTCGTTACCACTTGCCCCACCAACATTCTCCTTATGATACAACATCCACTCCCTCCTATGTCACTTTGTATCATGTCACATCATACCTCATCAATAGCCACACTGCCTACATAATTTGCCTCAAACACTCCCTCACTCCGATGACCTAATCCGAATGTCACTTCGTGATCCACTCTTTATTTTTCCGTATGATCACGTACCACCCACTTCTTATATCACTTGATCCAACCACTCCCTCCTTTCTTCAGTTTATATAACTTGTCCCACACACTTACAAAGGAATACAAAACATCCATTTGCTTTTATAGTCCATTGCTTTTATAGTCCATTTTATTTCCCCCAAAAGGAGGCAAAAATCCCACTGTGGCTCGTTTTATTTTTCACAGTCACCCTTAAACCTCAGAAATAGTGGAACAGACTTGGGAGTCCTCATCATGGAGTACATACTAAAAGACGTGACCAGTAATATTAGGTAATCTGTGCACTGATTTATGGTCACCTTGCTGAGAGAGTATCATTAAAAATATACATTGACACTGTTATGCATTTTTATTGTTCCACTCTGGGCATTTACATCGACAAATCATTAAAATATTTAAAATCAAAGGTCATTCATAGAGTAACATTGTTTCCACTTACACAAAATGTAGCTAGACTGAAAGGAGTAGGCCAGAATGGTGGGGTGCGAAAACCTTGCCCACAAGTATTAAATCTAAAACCAATGTTAATGCTGCTCTAGGTACGGTTGGAATTTCTCGACTTCAGCTTGGAGGACAGCTACACGTGTTCCTATGATTATATGGAGGCTATTGATGGGATGATGGCCACTTCAACACAGGTCGGGATTTACTGTGGCACAAGGAAGGTTCCCCCCATTACATCCACAAAGAACGCCCTGGTGCTCAGGTTTTTCAGCGATGCTTCTTCAGAGTCCACTGGGTTTCAAGCAAGATATTCTTTTGGTAAGCTTATACCGTAGAAGGAAAAAGTGAATTACTGGGTGGGTTTGATTTATTTGTGTATATTCTGATACGTTGCTTAGCATTGAAAGTGGCTGTTCACAAATAAAGATAATGATGTGACTAAAATCATATTTGTGATGGCTCTTGGTTAGAGTTCTAGAACAGGTCTCTATGGTTAAAATATCACCGTGTGGTCTGGTTGAGTTCTAAAAGAACTATTTAGGTTTGCTTACTGGTTCTGGTACTGGTTCTAGGTCTAAGCAGTAATATTATATTGTTAATTAAATATTAATGGTTCTGTGCCTTGCTGTGGCCACAAGAACCATAGCAATGACTTGTCTTCTGTACTTTGAGTCAAGTAGTAACAGATAATATATGTTGGCAACAAATCACCTTGATTAAAATCCAAAGTTGTGTTGTGTCTCAATGTCATTGGAGGTCACATCAGTGTCAAATTTTAAAGAAATACTGCTAGTGAGGCAGAGGACATTGTTTAATGGATATGAATGACATCTTAAAATACTATGTATATTAGGGGTAACTCAAACTCCTGCTTTTTTGTTTTTACAGTTTCTGCCATTTGAAGGTGGGGTAAAACTTTTGGGAAACTAACCACAGAACGTTGAATCTTGAAGACGACTCTAAATGTGATTTCCCATTCTGGCATAGCTACCTTTCTTCTACGTAAAAGGAAATGGACACACAAAATGAGTTTCATGCTCATTCACATGTCAGAGTTGTTGGTCATTTCTAACCTCTACAATTTTTGAAGAAAGTGTATAAACAGGCCTATAATGATCAGGAGTAAATACCTGAAAAACTGTCTATCTTTATAGACACATGGGTCCTTCTGAATCTTAATAAATGGCAGTATATTATCCACCAGGTTTATGGGGAAGGGAATCTGATGTTCATGGCTGTCGTATGTTAAGGAGAATAATTAAGTACTCTCCTCCATCTATTTTTACTGAGGGTCTGTGGCCACAATTAAATTGTGTGACTTAATAAAATTTACATTTGTTTGTTTCTACACTGTGTGATTTATATTGGCATGTTCTGTGTTTGCAAATATATTGCTCTGCAAATAGGCACATTGTAAAATCTATTAACATCAATGCACCTCTCTCCACACACACTAGAATGAAATGAGTGACTGTTACTTAACCCTAGACTCAAAATATGACTTTAGTCATTAAAGGAATACTATAGGGTCAGGAACACAAGCAGCATTCCTGACCCTGTAGTATTAAAAACACCATCTAGCCAACCCATGCCCACCCACCCCTTGCTACCCTAAATCTAGCAAAATCTTACCTATATTCCAGTCTGCTGGTGCTGGCTCTGCCCCTGATCTACCTGCTTAGCTGACATCATCAGAAGCGTTGAACAAAAGCCTATCTCAATGCTTCCCCATAGGATTGGCTGAGACTGTCAATGAGGCAGAGCCAGGACAAGCCAAACACAGCCCTGGCCAATCAGCAACTCCTCATAGAGATGAAATGAATTAATCCATCTCTATGAAAGTTCAGTGTCTGCGTGCAGAGGGTGGAGACACTGAATGGTAGTGCTGCTCATTGTGCAGCACTGCCACGGGAAGCAGCTCTAGCAGCCATCTGAGGAGTGGCCAGTGGAGTTAACACTAGGCTGTAATGTAAACACTGCATTTTCTCCTTTAAAGAACAATAACAAATGTCATCACCTACGTACGATCTGTAAAAAACATTGGAAGTTTGCTTTTACTGTATACAAGAGCGGTATATGGGATAAAGTGCAGAACAGTGCAGGCTAGCTATGTTTGTGACTGTGGCGCCCTCACTGGTATATGTTTTTTAACTATACTACCTGTCTACTTTGCAGTTTGCTTTTAGCCTTAGGAAAGAAGAATATCCCAATAAACCTCTCATACAGCGAGCACTCCGTTATTGTGGCATCATGTGATTAGGACTATGAGTGGGGGCTGAACTCTTCTTTGTGTGTTTGCTAATTCTGGGAGCCATCATTTCTATGGAAAATACACCATTGAATAAAATTAATTTGAAATCTCCAATGACTTTGTTAACCAATTTTGTGTGATGCTCTATTTTCATTTCAATGTATATTATATTTAAATATTTTGTGCGTGACATCACAAACAGGCTCAGTTTAGGCACAGTCAGGGCACACATTGCAAATGAGGAGGAGAAATGGACGCTGGAAACATTGTTTCATTTCTCCTCTTCTCTGTATGCTCTCTCCATGCTGACTGCCAGGTGCATAGCTAATGACAATGAGTGCCAGGGAGCTAAGATGGAGACGCCCAGCTGTTGAATAAAAATCTATGTTGATTTCTTAATATATTGTATTTTTTTTTTATACCTCACAAGTATATATTTATTAAACATAGAAACAAGTAAACATAATGTTAAAATTCCTGGAAAGTAACAGTTCTTTAGCTATAAAACATTCTGTTTAAACTGCTCCATTATTCATCTAAGCCACTAGATGGCACTAGGGTTATTCACTAACGTGAGAATTCAATGTAATTACAAAGTGAATTTCAAATTTAAAGGACCACTATAGTGCCAGGAAAACATACTCGTTTTCCTGGCACTATAGTGCCCTGGGGGTGCCCCCACCCTCAGGGTCCCTCTCCCGCCGGGCTCTGGGGAGAGGAAGGGGTTAAACTTACCTCTTTCTCCAGCGCCGGGTGGGGAGCTCTCCTCCTCCTCAGCCAGTCAGCCAGTCCTTAGGAAAACATTCACAATGCTTTCCTATGGACGCTGGCGTCTTCTCACTGTGAAAATCACAGTGAGAAGCACGCAAGCGCCTCTAGTGGCTGTCAAGAGACAGCCACTGGAGGCTGGATTAACCCATTTATAAACATTTATAAAAAAGGGTTAACCCTAGCTGGACCTGGCACCCAGACCACTTCATTAAGCTGAAGTGGTCTGGGTGCATATAGTGGTCCTTTAAGGTTGAAATAGCCAAACTGGAAAAATCCTCTAAGCCAGCTAAGCTTCCAATTTTGCTACACTGCCATAAATTTGAAATTCTATTTGAATTCACTTTGAATTCTCACTTTATTGAATAACCCCGTAAGTTGTATATACTGATAAAAAGAAGGGTCGGACAATTTTATAACAAATTACTTCACGTATTCTTATAGTTTGTCTGTGGTATTCGTACAGGCATTCCCTTGTGTTTCCACCAGTATTTAAGCATATCACATACATTATTTTTTTTAGGTAAGTCTGGTTAGTGTGAGAAGTAATTTGGAAGCAGTACCCCAGTACAATAAGAGATTAATGATAATTTCTAAATATTCTAAGTTATATAATACACATCAAGTCTTACCAATCAGGTGATATCCTCACAGCACGATCCGGTAAAACACATACATTGAACAAACACTCAGAGGAGTGCCTGACATCCAGTTATACCAGCACCAAGGGAAATCACCAAGCATACTGTGAGCATTAAACGAAAGCCGCAAACAACCAGCCACAATATTAGAATTCCTAACGCTATAGTGTTCCTTTAATTCTGAATTCTCACTTTAGTAAAAAGCCCTGTAAGTGTCTGCTAAATACATTACCACCAAACTAATGTAGATTTCCTTCTCAATCTGTATATTCTGAGGCACAGCTGGTAAATTCTCAGTACCTGTGCTGTGCATGAGAAACAACAAACAAAATAAAATACTATTTGTATCAGCAACCAGCAAGGAAATGGTTAAAATGAGAGAGAAAGAGAAAACATGAGAGTGAGCGAAAGTGAGAGAGAGTGTGTGTGTCACAAAGAGAAAATATGAGAGTGTGTGTTTGTGTGTGTGTGTGTGTAAGTAAGAGAGAGACATAGAGAGAGTATGTTTGTGTGTGTGTGTGTGTGTGAGAGAGAGAGAGACAAAGAACAAATATGTGAGAGAGAGAGTGTGAGAGAGAAAGATAGTGTGTGTGTCTGATAGAGTGAGAGAGAGAGTGTGTGTGTGAGAGAGAGAGACAGTGTGTGTGTGTGTGTGTGAGAGAGAGACAGAGAGAGAGTGAGTGTGTGAGAGACAGTCTGTGTGTGTGTGAGGGAGAGAGAGACAGGGAGAGAGTGAGAGACAGTCTGTGTGTTTGTGTGTGTGTGTGTGTGAGAGAGAGACAGAGAGAGAGTGAGTGTGTGAGAGACAGTCTGTGTGTGTGTGTGTGTGTGTGAGAGAGAGAGACAGAGAGAGTGAGAGACAGTCTGTGTGTTTGTGTGTGTGAGAGAGAGACAGAGAGAGTGAGAGACAGTCTGTGTGTTTGTGTGTGTGAGAGAGAGACAGAGAGAGTGAGAGACAGTCTGTGTGTGTGTGTGAGAGAGAGAGAAAGAGACACAGAGAGAGAGTGTGTGTGAGAGACAGTCTGTGTGTGTGTGTGTGAGAGAGAGAGAGAGAGAGAGAAAGAGACAGAGATGGTGTATGTGTATGTATATCTCTTGGCTAAATGATAATTTAGTGATAAAGAGTAAAATGTTTTCTACCAAATTCTAGTGGTTTGGCTGCATGCTATTGCTAATTATTCTTGGAATTTGCCGAAAACCCATTACGTTCTCCCAAACTGCTCACATTGTGGCTGTAGAACCAGTCTGGCTGAGAGGTGACACATTGTGTGTGTGTTTTGTGAATTATTTGTGGATCTCAGCTCAGCCTGGGGGTTAGTTCTCTCAGCAGCTCATTGTGATTAACTGACGTGTGTTCATGTAAACCCACCTCCTTCCCTGGAGAGCTGAGATTGTATCCCAATTCCATGGAAGAAGCTGTCAGGAGCAGATACAGAGTCTGGCTGGGATGGACTGGAGGGAAGCTGGGATAAGTGGACCTGATACATTGTGATAGAAAGTTCCCAGGATGATCTCCCCCCCTGTACTGGTCCTGGGGGCAACCTTTGGGGCGGTGGCAGGACTGCTTGCCCTCTGTTGTGTGCTGTGTGTGTGCGGGCGCTTATATAAGAAGAAGAAGATGCCACCAGACAGTGGGGGTGGAACCCCAGTGACAATGACTAGTGTTCTCCACCAGGGGCAACCGGTATGTATCCTGCACCCTAAAAGTTTACTGTATGGGAACATATTGCATGAGGTCTTTACTGAGGGGTAGCTATTAGCTATTACAAGCAAACATTAGTTTCTGCTGGGGACTAGTTAATCCAAGTTAACATTGTATAGGTCTCTACCGGGGACTAGTTAATTCAAGTTAACATTGTATAGGTCTCTACTGGGGACTGGTTAATTCATGGTAACATTGTATAGGTCTCTACTGGGGACTAGTTAACATTGTATAGGTATCTATTGGGGACTAGTTAATGCATGTTAACATTATATAGGTCTGGGGACTAGTTAATCCAAGTTAACATTGTATAGGTCTCTACTTGGGACTGGTTAATTCATGGTAAGATTGTATAGGTCTGGGGACTAGTTAATTCAAGTTAACATTATATAGGTCTCTACTGGGGACTAGTTAACATTGTATAGGTCTCTACTGGGGACTGGTTAATTCATGGTAAGATTGTATAGGTCTGGGGACTAGTTAATTCATGTTAACATTATATAGGTCTGGGAACTAGTTAATTCAAGTTAACATTGTATAGGTCTATACTGGGGACTAGTTAATTCAAGTTAACATTGTATAGGTCTCTAGTGGGGACTGGTTAATTCATGTTAACATTGTTTAGGTCTCTACTGGGGACTAGTTAATTCAAGTTAACATTGTATAGGTCTGGGGAGTAGTTAATTCAAGTTAACATTGTATAGGTCTCTGCTGGGTACTAGTTAATTCAAGTTAACATTGTATAGGTCTCTGCTGGGTACTAGTTAATTCAAGTTGACATTGTATAGGTCTCTAGTGGGGACTGGTTAATTCATGTTAACATTGTTTAGGTCTCTACTGGGGACTAGTTAATTCAAGTTAACATTGTATAGGTCTGGGGAGTAGTTAATTCAAGTTAACATTGTATAGGTCTCTGCTGGGTACTAGTTAATTCAAGTTAACATTGTATAGGTCTCTGCTGGGTACTAGTTAATTCAAGTTGACATTGTATAGGTCTCTAGTGGGGACTGGTTAATTCATGTTAACATTGTTTAGGTCTCTACTGGGGACTAGTTAATTCAAGTTAACATTGTATAGGTCTGGGGAGTAGTTAATTCAAGTTAACATTGTATAGGTCTCTGCTGGGTACTAGTTAATTCAAGTTAACATTGTATAGGTCTCTGCTGGGTACTAGTTAATTCAAGTTGACATTGTATAAGTCTCTACTGGGGACTAGTTAATTCAAGTTAACATTGTATAGGTCTCTACTGGGGACTAGTTAATTCAAGTTAATATTGTATAGGTCTCTATTGGGGACTAGTTAATTCAACTCATGCTGTTATAGATTCTATTGTGTATTTTTTTTAGAAAACTAGCTACTGACAGAGCAGGGTCCATATATTTACCTTTGACTAACTAATACTAACACACTTATTATGGGGACATTTGAGTAGTTGTAGCACATATTAGCATAAATATTTATTAGCATAAATTCTGAGGGCTCTATCAGGATATAATAGCTAATGATAACAGAAATTCAAATGAGTCTTGAAATTCAAATGAGTCTTGTAACGGAACTCCCTGTCCTCCGACCGAGTACCTTCCGTTGATGGACGCCTCCTAGCTTGCGCCGAGGACCACAAGCACCGCACCGGACACGACAACCACTGCAGACTCCACAACCGCTGTAGCTTAACTGGAGTCTCGCCGTCTTCTGTCCACCTTGGATCAGCTTCTGTCCTTCAGGACCGTGTGGGAAGACCTCTCCTCCAGGAGAGCGTATCAGGAACATGCTCTTAAAAGAGCTGAGTGATTAAAGCTCATGGGAGTATGCAGAGCATAGCAATCCCCAGTGTTATATAGCAGTTCCCTCCAATCACGAGACAAGACTACGTGTTGAGGGTCAAGAAGAACTGTCTGTACTGGCACCTACAGCCTCTTTTATTCACATTCTACAAACATAGTACTGCCCACAGGGTTTTGAAGAACAACCAATCAACACATTACAACACAGCTAACACTCCCATCCATTACATCAGAAATCCTCCCCTCTGCCTGTGATACAATTATCTCAACACAATAGACTAACTTAATTATCACAGGCAGGAAAATACAGTATTATAAAACATATCACAGGGACCCCAAAACATACAATAACCCCATATATCCTCGGAACCGGGGGATCTGAGTGAACCACATATCCAAAATTCACCAAGATCCGTTCAGTAGTTTGGAAGATACGGTTTAATGCAGATTCCGCAGAACATATACAGACTATTTGAAAAATAATTACTGTTAAATGTGTCCCCTGTTCTGTAGTTTAAAACTACTGAACGATGTCTTTGTGCACCAAATACCGGCAAGATGGTACCGTGTAGAAAAGTCAAAACAGTGTCTGTGAGTTAAAATGGCTGCCATCCATTGTTCTCACCATGTGCTTCATCCATTGTTCTCACCATTATAGGGGTCTTTCATTGGGATTAGCTAATGATAGTAACATTATAGGGGTCTTTCCTTGGGATTAGCTAATACTAGAGCATATATTAAAAGGGATCTTTACTAGGTAATACAGGGAGTGCAGAATTATTAGGCAAATGAGTATTTTGACCACATCATCCTCTTTATGCATGTTGTCTTACTCCGAGCTGTATAGGCTCGAAAGCCTACTACCAATTAAGCATATTAGGTGATGTGCATCTCTGTAATGAGAAGGGGTGTGGTCTAATGACATCAACACCCTATATCAGGTGTGCATAATTATTAGGCAACTTCCTTTCCTTTGGCAAAATGGGTCAAAAGAAGGACTTGACAGGCTCAGAAAAGTCAAAAATAGTGAGATATCTTGCAGAGGGATGCAGCACTCTTAAAATTGCAAAGCTTCTGAAGCGTGATCATCGAACAATCAAGCGTTTCATTCAAAATAGTCAACAGGGTCGCAAGAAGCGTGTGGAAAAACCAAGGCGCAAAATAACTGCCCATGAACTGAGAAAAGTCAAGCGTGCAGCTGCCACGATGCCACTGCCACTGCCACCCACCCAGTTTGGCCATATTTCAGAGCTGCAACATCACTGGAGTGCCCAAAAGCACAAGGTGTGCAATACTCAGAGACATGGCCAAGGTAAGAAAGGCTGAAAGACGACCACCACTGAACAAGACACACAAGCTGAAACGTCAAGACTGGGCCAAGAAATATCTCAAGACTGATTTTTCTAAGGTTTTATGGACTGATGAAATGAGAGTGAGTCTTGATGGGCCAGATGGATGGGCCCGTGGCTGGATTGGTAAAGGGCAGAGAGCTCCAGTCCGACTCAGACGCCAGCAAGGTGGAGGTGGAGTACTGGTTTGGGCTGGTATCATCAAAGATGAGCTTGTGGGGCCTTTTCGGGTTGAGGATGGAGTCAAGCTCAACTCCCAGTCCTACTGCCAGTTCCTGGAAGACACCTTCTTCAAGCAGTGGTACAGGAAGAAGTCTGCATCCTTCAAGAAAACATGATTTTCATGCAGGACAATGCTCCATCACACGCGTCCAAGTACTCCACAGCGTGGCTGGCAAGAAAGGGTATAAAAGAAGAAAATCTAATGACATGGCCTCCTTGTTCACCTGATCTGAACCCCATTGAGAACCTGTGGTCCATCATCAAATGTGAGATTTACAAGGAGGGAAAACAGTACACCTCTCTGAACAGTGTCTGGGAGGCTGTGGTTGCTGCTGCACGCAATGTTGATGGTGAACAGATCAAAACACTGACAGAATCCATGGATGGCAGGCTTTTGAGTGTCCTTGCAAAGAAAGGTGGCTATATTGGTCACTGATTTGTTTTTGTTTTGTTTTTGAATGTCAGAAATGTATATTTGTGAATGTTGAGATGTTATATTGGTTTCACTGGTAATAATAAATAATTGAAATGGGTATATATTTGTTTTTTGTTAAGTTGCCTAATAATTATGCACAGTAATAGTCACCTGCACACACAGATATCCCCCTAACATAGCTAAACTAAAAACAAACTAAAAACTACTTCCAAAAATATTCAGCTTTGATATTAATGAGTTTTTTGGGTTCATTGAGAACATGGTTGTTGTTCAATAATAAAATTAATCCTCAAAAATACAACTTGCCTAATAATTCTGCACTCCCTGTATATCTCCCATAAACTGTATTATTGCCATGACATGATCATCAACAATGGGCCCATGCCGTAATGTAATTGACGTGTTATTTCCCAGCACAAATAACGAAAAAAAGGATTTATCCTTGATGCTATAAAAAATATTTTTTTGAAATTTACCTCTTGCCTTTAAATTGTCAAGCTCTAAGACTAAGTAAACGAATGTAGGTCAATTTTCTTTCAAATCTTCAAGAATGAGGAAACTTAGAACATGGCAGTTTTTATCAGAGCTAATTTCAGCCTTAAAATAAAACCTGTGTTTTTGGGTTGGGGGAGAGGGAAATTCATTGTAGTATTGCTATTAAAGGAACACTCCAAGTACTATAACTACTACACATTCTGGTGGTTATGGAGCTAGGCATGTCCTTTCTACCTCCGAGCTTAAGTAGCAAAACCATTGCTAACACACAGCTACCTGCCGGACAGCCAAACCATTTCTAACACACAGCTACCTGCCGGATAGCCAAACCATTGCTAACACACAGCTACCTGCCGGATAGCCAAACCATTGCTAACACACAGCTACCTGCCGTACAGCCAAACCATTGCTAACACACAGCTACCTGTCGGATGGCGAAACGATTGCTAACACACAGCTACCTGTCGGATAGCCAAACCATTGCTAACACATAGCTATCTGCCAGATAGCCAAACCATTGCTAACACACAGCTACCTGTCGGATAGTCAAACCATTGCTAACACACAGCTACCTGCCGGATAACCAACCCATTGTTAAAACATAGCTATCTGCCGGATAGCCAAACCATTGCTAACACACAGATATCTGCCGGATAGCAAAACCATTGCTAACCCACAGCTACCTGCCAGATAGCCAAACTATTGCTAACACACAGCTACCTGCCGGATAGCAAAACCATTGCTAACCCACAGCTACCTGCCAGATAGCCAAACTATTGCTAACACACAGCTACCTGCCGGATAGCAAAACCATTGCTCACACACAGATATCTGTCGGATAGCCAAATCATTGCTAACACACAGATATCTGCCGGATAGCCAAACCATTGCTAACACACAGATATCTGTCAGATAGCCAAACCATTGCTAACACACAGCTACCTGCCGTATAGCGAAACCATTGCTAACACACAGCTACCTGCCGGATAACCAACCCATTGCTAACACACAGCTATCTGCCGGATAGTCAAACCATTGCTAACACACAGCTACCTGCCAGATAGCCAAACCATTGCTAACACACAGCTACCTGCTGGATAGCCAAACTATTGCTAACACACAGCTACCTGCCGGATAGCGAAACCATTGCTAACACACAGATATCTGTTGGATAGCCAAATCATTGCTAACACACAACTACCTGCCGGATAGTCAAACCATTGCTAACACACAGCTACCTGCCGGATAGCCAACCCATTGCTAACACATAGCTATCTGCCGGATAGCCAAACCATTGCTAACACACAGATATCTGACGGATTGCCAAACCATTGTTAACACACAGCTACCTGCCTGATAGCCAAACCATTACTAACACACAGCTACCTGCCGGATAGCCAAACCATTGCTAACACATAGCTATCTGCTGGATAGCCAAACCATTACTAACAGACAGCTACCTGCCTGATAGCCAAACCATTACTAACACACAGCTACCTGCTGGATAGCCAAACCATTACTAACAGACAGCTACCTGCCAGATAGCCAAACCATTGCTAACACACAGCTACCTCCCAAATCATGCATGCTCACCTAAGAGGCTTTTCCTGATGCTGCATTTGAAAGGCAGGAGGTTCATTTCATAAAAATCTTTTTTATTGCATTGAGATTAGCCGATATTTGAATATTAGTAGCTTAAGATGATAAAAGTTTAATTTTAGGACACTGGGTTTACTTTTTGAGCTATTGCAGTTTTATTCTCCTATTGCAGTCTGTTGTTTTGTGTTGTGCATTCTTGGGCTGATAAATCATTTTTATTCCTGTCATTTGTGCTGGGAAATAACACATCAATTACATTACAGCCACTGTAGTACATGATCATGTCATGTCAATAATAAGAATTATGGGAGATGTATTATACCTGCCAGTTTTCTACAGTAGAAAGATGACAATTTAACAACTTTCCGACACACTGGTTTCCTTAGTTGGTGATAACTTACTGCAGATCCTGCAAAGCCTGGGCATTTGCAGCAAACGTAGTAAGTTAAAGTATCAATTAAAAAGTTTTAGAAAAGGATGCAATCCATTCTAATGCCAATAAAATATATCTGTGCTCTATGGAAAAACTCCAATGCACCTTTTTTAAACAGAGGTTTTAGTGCCATTACAAAGGCCATTAAAGTGCAAGATCTCCTGCCAATGCCAAGTAAACCACGTAGGTGAGCCCTGTTCCAACAGCTCACATGGTTTTCAGCTTAAATTTAAATTATAATGAGACACAAATGTTTTTTTTTTTTTGAGTTTGTGTTTTTTTTTATAAAAGCCACACATTTATTAACCTAAATATGAAGCACACAAGGAGTTGGTAAAAACACACAAAATCAAGTCTAGTGCTCAAACTCCCACTACTCTTGGGCGAAAGGAATGACTACAGTATCAATTAGCCCAGAAACAGACAAGAAAAAAGCAACATAAAAGCTCCTTTCAACTCAAAGTCAAAACTTCAAATCAGGAGATATTGTTATGAACCCCTACACACTTATTGACCCTTAATACACACGGGGTTGGCGGCAGCGCTGTAACATGGCTGTGTAATACAGAAGCAAACGCAAACATTCGGAACTCAAACTCCCACTACTCTTGAGCAGCATCAATGACTATAATATTCATCAACCCAAGCACATAGTACAAAAGTTACCTGAACACTGTCCTACATCCCTATGTACATTTAAATAACTGGAGATTTTTAGTACCACTCCATTGGCCATTAAAGCTCACCTAAGAGATTTTCCCTGATGAGGCAACTGAGCTTACACTTTAATAGCCATTGGAGTGGTTGACATAAGATGTTGGTGTCTATTCTGTGCAATACGAATGCAGGTAAAAACATATATATTAGTCCTGTGCATGAAATCCCATCACTGTTTGGCAGCTGCATTAACTAGAGTATGCAACCAGATTCCCCAAAAGGTTACCTGCACTCCTAAACCCAAATATACATTGTTTAATAACAGAGGTTCTTAATTTCACTGCAATAGCCATCAAATCATAAATTAACCTGAAAAACGTAAGGCAAACCTCTTGGTGATCCCTGGACTAAGTCATTTGAACAGCAAACACATTTTTTGCATTTAAGTTGAATTATTAAAGAGAGGTACTTTGCTATTGTCAGGGTATTTATATCGGCAGACATTTTGTGCTAAGATAGAAACTAAAAGTGTATATTCTGAGTCACTCTGAACAGACCAGACTCCATTTTGTTATTTCAAGTTAACAAAGAAGACACTAGATTTCTTTCTGTAAGACTGGCCTCTTTGCCAAAGCTAAGGAATGCATAGTATAAACAAGTGATAAGAAGAATATAATCAAATCTAAACCCAGACAATTGTGACAGGGAAGATTAAATAATTTAATATTTAACTGTCTATATGTATAAGGTACCATTGTATGGAAAAGGGTAAACTTAGTTCATGATCTGCCATATCAGAAATTATGGCAGGAATTGCAGATGCTAAGTCTGGACAAAATTTAAGAAACCCTTTGAAATTTTAAATTATGGCACTATAAAGATAACGCAAAATGACGTCAAAATAGTCACCAGGAAAAGTTAACTCTTTCCTGGATAGGTATGTTTAGTGGGACAAGACTGCCCTCTACAGACCAAATAACTAATTTGCGATCTGGAAGATAACCACACCTCTAGTGCTTCTATTGGGTTATCAACTGATGACGTACAGAGAGTCTGGCCCTTTAAAAGTTAAGAGGCAGGGTATGCAAGAGATGCAAAGGAGAGGAGAGAGGAATTGGAAGTTTGGGGACTCCAACCTCCATGCAGAGAGACATCCAAATAAGTTCCTGAGACTACCAATCGGATGAAATATCTACTCAACTGGTAATTATACTGGTTTCATTTAATTAATTAAATTAATTAAAATGTATTAATAGCATGATATATGACTGGATAAAGCACGGTCAGATTTCCATATTAAGAAATCTTAGTTAACTAAAGAATATATAGTTATAAACATTCCATTCTGCAGGTGGAATTAAGAATAATTATATATTGATGTGATATTATCACGTGTTAGCATACCGCTGTTTTTATCCAGGTGTATTGATTTGCTCTAAATTAAGATAGATATCTTTTAGACAAATTAAAAATCTGCTTATATAATATGGTAAATTCTCTTATTGGATGGTTTCAGAAAATGACCAATGAACTGGGTTAAATGTTATTTTATTTAAAATTACATAAGAATAGATCTTAATTACCTAGGAGATCTAGCCAGCATTGGAAGGGTTATTCTAACTGTCTGCTAAACTTTACGACCTTATGCTGCACTCTGAGGAATTCTGTTCTCTGTGTGAAAAGTTTCACTTTCAATCTGTGTAAGGATACCTCATAAATCGTCAGAATTCTTGACAGGAAATGCTATTTAGCCATTGAAACATAATACCCATTCCTTTGTATTGCATATCATTTTATACTGAATATTCATTGATTATTGTCATGCATGTTACATGTTATTATTAATTAATTTGTCATATAAATAAAATCTATTTTTATACATTGTGATATTAATTATATGATATACTTCTCACTTAACACGATAAACGTTCTTTGGGATCTGAGAATTGAATTAGTGGGCAATTCTCAACTGTTTACTATTATTATCCCATAAATATCCCCACACTATTTAGGTTAACTGTAACTAAAATATAAATATTCTATGACATTTTCGTGAAGTGGCAGACATCCAGGGATCCTGGATGGCTTGCGGAATATAGGTGCATGAATAAAATAACTTAGCTCAAATACCAGGCAAACTTTTGACTTATTCATCTATCTGAAGGCTGTATGTAAAGTAAATGGTGCATTATCAGTCTGTCTGCGAGCTAACTAAATAGGCACTTGCTAAAATAATTTACCATATTAATACTGTAATAGTTCATGTTGACTATTCTATGTACTGCCTAACCAAGCGTAGAGAACAATGTTGTTCTGACGAACCAACTGGACGTTTCATGTATGACATATTAGCAATTATTCCAAAATCACATGACAAGATATAGAAGTTTGCAAGGTTTTGTGTGGTGGTCAAAGTAAATACTGATAGAACATCCAAAGAATACCAGTAGATATTCCGTCATGTTAAGGTTATGAACAGATTCCAATACAAGGAGAGTCGAAACCCAGAAAGCTTTATCGGAAATATAAGCTAGTTTCTGAGCTCCATACCATATTTATAGTGATGTGGAAAATGGTAAATCTGCAAACAGAGTCTGTAACAGTAATAGAGATCACATTAACAAGAGAACAATCTGAATTCAGAATACACTTTAAACAAGCCAGGCTGACACACAGTAATCAACCGAATGCTGTTAAATGGTCTGTGGCAGAAGGTGCGAATAAGCATGTTTGTGATTCAGCATGGTTACATTAACCCCTTAAGGACTGGACTGTTTTTGCGATGTTGTACATTTGCGACCAGGCATATTTTTACACTTTTGTGGTGTTTGTGTTTGGCTGTAATTTTCCGCTTTCTCATTTACTGTTCCCATACAAATTATATATTGTTTTTTTCAGGACAAAAGGAGCTTTCTTCACATACCATTATTTATATAATCTCATGTATTTTTATTTAAAAAAAATACAAAAATCTGATGAAAAATTGAAAAAAATACATGTTTTTTGACTTTTACTTGAAAAATCTTTTGCTCATCTACAAAAGCGAATGAAAAAAACTGCTAAATAGATTCAAAATTTTGTCCTGAGTTTAAAAATACCTAGTGTTTACGTGCTTTTTTGCTTTTTTTTGCATGTTATAGGGCTATAGGTACAAGTAGGATATTGCGGTTTCAAAACATACATTTTTAAAATTTATCAATAGTGACATTGTAACACTATTATCTGTCATAAATCTCTGAATAACACCCCACATGTACATATTTTTTTTAAAGTAGACAACCCAGGGTATTCAATATGGGGTATGTCCAGTCTTTTTAGTAGCCACTTAGTCGAAAACACTGGCCAAAGTAAGCATTCATATTTGTTTGTGTGTGAAAAAAGTAAAAAAACTAAATTGAACGCTAATTTTGGCCAGTGTTTGTGACCAAGTGGTTACTAAAAAAGACTGGACATACCCCATTTGCAATACCTTGGGTTGTCTTCTTTTGCAAATAGTATGCCATCATGGGGGTAATTCTCATTCCTGGGCTACCATACGCTCTCAAAGGCAACGTAACCAACCTGGCCATTTTCAATGTAAAAATATTTGACCCATATATTTGACCTTGTAACTTTCAAAAATGCTATAAAACCTGTACATGGGGGGTACTGTTTTACTCGGGAGACATCGCTGAACACAAATATTAGTGTTTAAAAACTGGAAAACGTATCACAACAATTATATCATCAGTAAAAGTGCTGTTTGTGTGTGAAAAATGCAAAAAAGTAACTTTCACTGACAATATCATCACTGTGATATGTTTTACTGTTTTGAATCACTAATATTTGTGTTCAGCGAAGTCTCCCGAGTAAAACAGTACCCCCCATGTACAGGTTTTAGGGTGTCGTAGAACGTTACAGGGTAAAATACAGTGCTAACAAATTAAATTCTCTGGAATTTCGGCCTGGGTTGGCAGGCAGGTCCCTCAAATTGCAATCAATAAAATTACTGAATTATGTAAAAATATTACATAAATACGCACGTAGAATTTAAATATATATGCATATTTATATATTTGAAGTCTACGTGTATATTTATATAATTTTTATGTAATTTTGTATATGGACGTATGTATATTTCTTATTATTTTTATTTATTTTTATATACATAGATATATATACAAATTCATTCTAAGTGTATTTTGATATAAATATATATATATTAATTTTAAAATACAGTTAGAATAAAATTTCATATAGATATATAATTTTTTTTTAATTTTTTATTATTATTTAAAATATTTTATTTAAACACTATTTATATTTTATAATAATATATATATACAATATATATAGTTATTATATATATTATATATATACGTAATTTATTAGGTGTATTTTTATTAATATAGTACATATTAATATATAAAATACACTTAGTATGGCATTATATATATATGATATAGATATATTATATAGATAGTTATATATGTCTATAATTTATATACACATATATAATTATTTTTTTTTATTAACATTAACTTTATTTTTTTTTTGATTTTACACTGCAGGGAGACTGCCTGTCAGCACAGGCAGTCCCCCTGCAGGCAGACACATGGACACCTATTGTGACCATGTGATCGCTGTGTTAAGCGATCACATGGCCACAGGGGTCCTAATCTGCCGCGGGGAGACTGTCTGGGCTGCAGGCAGTCTCCCCACAACCGGAGCCACGCTGATCGCCGCCGGGGGAACGACGGCGATCAGGTAAGTAGCTCTGACCGTTAGGACGGTTCAGGACCGTCATCGGTCGGCAACGCAAAAATGCCGATGACGGTCCTGAACCGTCCTCGGTCCTTAAGGGGTTAATGTATTCTAGAACTTTGATAAAACGGAACTGCATGGGAGCTGTTGGGATTATGACATGCCATCTGTAGCTTGCGATTCCTGTACACCCAGTCTTCTGTATTCCTGGGTATTTCACTGCACATGCCAACATATATATACACTGCTCAAAAAAACAAAGGAAATATTTAACCCCTTAAGGACACATGACGGAACTATTCCGTCATGATTCCATTTTATTTCGGAAGTTGTGTCCTTAAGGGGTTAAACAACACCATGTAACTCCAAGTGAATCACACTTCTGTGAAATCAAACTCTCTACTTAGGAAGCAACACTGAGTGACAATCAATTTTGCATGCTGTTGTGCAAATGGGATAGACAACAGGTGGAAATTATAGGCAATTAGCAAGACACCCCCAATAAAGGAGTGGTTCTGCAGGTGGTGACCACAGACCACTTCTCAGTTCCTATGCTTCCTGGCTGATATTTTGGTCACTTTTAACTGCTGGTGGTGCTTTCACTCTAGTGGTAGCATGAGATGGAGTCTACAACCCACACAAGTGGCTCAGGTAGTGCAGCTCATCCAGGATGGCACATCAATGCGAGCTGTGGCAAGAAGGTTTGCTGTGTCTGTCAGCGTAGTGTCCAGAGCATGGAGGCGCTACCAGGAGACAGGCCAGTATATGAGGAGACGTGGAGGAGGCCGTAGGAGGGCAACAACCCAGCAGCAGGACTGCTAGCTCTGCCTTTGTGCAAGTAGGGACATGAGGAGCACTGCCAGAGCCCTGCAAAATGACCTCCAGCAGGCCACAAATGTGCATGTGTCTGCTCAAACCTCGTGTGGCTGGAGTGTGTCAACAGTTCCTGCAAGACGAAGGCATTGATGCTATGGACTGGCCCGCCCGTTCCCCTGACCTGAATCCAATTGAGAACATCTGGGACATCATGTCTCGCTCCATCCACCAACGTCACGTTGCACCACAGACTGTCCAGGAGTTGGCAGATGCCTTAGTCCAGATCCGCCACCTCATCAGGAGCATGCACAGGCATTGTAGGGAGGTCATACAGGCACGTGGAGGCCACACACACTACTGAGCCTCATTCTGACTTGTTTTAAGGACATTACATCAAAGTTGGATCAGCCTGTAGTGTGTTTTTCCACTTTAATTTTGAGTGTGACTCCAAATCCAGACCTCCATGGGTTGAAAAAATTGATTTCCATTTTTTTATTTTTGTGTGATTTTGTTGTCAGCACATTCAACTATGTAAAGAACAAAGTATTTCAGAAGAATATTTAATTCATTCAGATCTAGGATGTGTTATTTTTGTGTTCCCTTAATTTTTTTGAGCAGTGCATATAGAAAGAGAGAGAGAGAGTGTGAATAGTGGCATTACCGTGCCAGTAAGATCAAGAGAAACATATCATCTAGTTACACAACGTTTTAACATAGTCAAAAGTAAACTAGTTTCACAACTGGAATTAGATGGACTACACAAAGATCATGAATGTGCCATGAGGAGAAAGGAACTCCCAAAACTCCCATACGATCACCCATACCTACAAAAGGATGCATCTCTGCACCAAGATGGCATATGAGCCGGTATAAGAGAAATTATCATAGAAATGCTAGCAGTCTTTGACCATAGGACAAGACTGATCCACAACCAGCTGTGGATCGAGGGGGGTGGGGGGAGCAACGGGGCAATCCCCCTACCCCCCTTCTCCCCTGCCCCTCCCCACCCCTGGGAAAATAAACAGTGCTGAGGCTCTTCCCTGCCGGCCCGAGTAGGATAGTACCGGACCAGAGGGGAGATCAGAGCTCTCCCTCACAGGCCCGCTGGCACTTTGCTGGCGGCTGACGGGGGAGGGAGAGGAGACCCGGGAGTTTTTGCTTCCAGCTCCGCCGGGTCTCCTCTCGCGACCTCAGAGCATTCCCTCAGTTACCATGGTAACAATCTGTTTTCATAAGAGTGAACTCTAGCCCTAGGACGCTACAGGCTAAAGTTCACTCTTACCACTAGAACAGCCAGGGATTCTCTGCTGGACAACCAGGGCTGTACAATCGATATCCCCCCTCTCTGGGGGGGATATAAAGCATATTTAAAAACAAAACACTTATATCACATCTGAATTGGTACAGCTTTTTATTTTTATTCTATCTATTCACACACCCTGCCTGATCACTCAGCTATGTGTTAGCTGTAAAAACACACATTGTGAATCACAGAAAAGCTATTTCGTATATTAATGCCCGCACGTTGTAAATACCTGGTGACTTTTCCTAAAATCTTTCTTGGCTGCTGTGAAATACAGAAATACAACAAATTACTGTGTAAAAGGCTAACAGCAGGTCCCTAAAATCACACTTGAGATTGAGCAGTTTCTAAGCAACACACTCTGTGCAAGTTGAGCTTAATTTTCTTGAATGAGGCCAATTCATGATGAAAAGTAATTCCTGGACCATGGTGTGTGAGCACGCACGAGCATGTATGCCAGTAATTTAACCCTTTCATTACTAGATGTCAACTTCTGACCTAGGGGGGAATGTAACAAGATTTTCCACAGATCTCTGAGCAGTCCTAACTCCCATCAGTCTGACCTCTATGTAACCTCCGTTACTATGACCTCTATATAACCTCTATCAGTATGACCTCTGTGTAACCTCCATCAGTATGACCTCTATATGACCTCTATCAGTATGACCTCTGTGTAACCTCTGTTACTATGACCTCTATGTAACCTCATCATTATGACCTCTATTTAACCTCCATCAGTAGGACCTCTATTTAACCTCCATCAGTAGGACCGCTTTGTAACCTACATCAGTATGACCATTATTTAACCTCCTTTAGTATTACCTCTATGTAATCTCCATCAGTATGACCTCTATGCAGTGGTGTATTTAGGATTTGTGCTGCTCCACCCCCAATTTAAATTTTCCCCACACCTTTCTGTCAAGGCCACACTTTGACTGACAGACGCTCACTCACTGACAGACGCACACTCACTGACAGACGTACACTCACTGATAGACGCATACACTCATTGACAGACACCCACAGTCTCATATACACTGACAAACAATGACATACACACACACTATTACTTGGACACACACTGACAGACGCACACTCACTGAGAGATGCACACTCACTGACAGATGCATACACTCACTGACAGATGCATAAACTCACTGACAGTCGCATAAACTCACTGACAGACACACACTATCATATACACTGACTAACAATAACATACACACACACACACTATTACTTGGACACACACTGACAGACGCACACTCTCACTGACAGACGCATGCACTCCCTGACTGACACATACACACTTACTGACCGACACACACACATTAGACACACACACTTACAGACAAACACACACTTACAGACACACACACTTACAAACACACACACATGCACACTTACATACACACACATTCACTTACAGACACATACACCCGGCAGCCGCCAGCTTCGGGGCAGCTGAAAAGTGGCCAGCCAGCTCTTGAGCTCCCCAGGACATGAGGCAAGCAAGGGAGCTGCCTGGGCGTTTGGGGTCGGCTTTTTTTTGCCGTCCCCTGCAAAAGTGCCACCCAAGGCAGATGCCTTGTTTGCCTTGCGGAAGACACATCCCTGCCTCTATGTAAGACATAAGGTCCGTCTCTACTCATATCAACACAGATCAAAAACAACTCAGATGCATGGCTACTTTTGACGCAGACTGGGATCAAGTGAAAACAATTCTGAAAAGGTTCTGGCCTCTCCTTAAACAGGACGAACACTTAAAGGATGTAATTCCATCGAGCGCGTGCATCGTAGCAAGAAGGGGTAAAAACCTCAAGGATGCCTTGGTACACAGCCATTTCCAACAAATGTGGACAATGCAAAGCATGCAACTTTATCTGCAAAGACTCCAAATGCTTTGAAAACAGATCCCACACCAAAAAGTTTCGACGGTTCTCTTTCTTTAACTGTAACACCAAAGTGGTTGTATACTTAATGACATGCCATTGCAACATGCTACATGTGTAGGTAAGACATTTCATCCCTTCAAAAAAAGAATTTTGGAGCCTATCAATTCGATAAGAATACTAAACAAAGGATTTTCATACTTTCCCTTCATTAATGATCTCTGAAAAATTTGAAAATATTGAAATTATTAATATCACAGCAATTGATAACGTTTGGAACTAGCCAATCAATATAGCTGTGTTTTGAATTTAATAAATCAAGGATAAGATTTGGTGTGCTTTATATACATAGCAACAATTCTTGATCCCTGGCCTTTTCAATTTGTATCCTATTGTTTCAATACAGTCTCTATTTTACTGGATACATTTTAAATAGCTGTGGGAATTTAGACTGCCTCTCTACCACTCCCTTCTGAAGGGAAGTTATTAAAGCTGTATATACTTTATTTTCAGTTTTTACACACCAGATTAGAAAACCCCCTTGTTTGTAGTGTATTTTTTTGTTGTTGTAATTATTGTTCCCAGGGTTCAGGCCCAAACTGACCACTATGTCCCTAACCCATTAAAATTGGATTGGGTAACATAGTTTCTAGCTATTTTTCAGTTGACCTCTATGTAATCTCCATCAGTATGACCTCTATGTAAACTCCATCAGTATGACCTCTATGTAACCTCCATCAGTATGACCACGATGTAAACTCCATCAGTATGACCTCTATGTAACCTCCATCAGTATGACCTCGATGTAAACTCCATCAGTATGACCTCTATGTAACCTCCATCAGTATGACCTTGATGTAAACTCCATCAGTATGAGCTTGATGTAAACTCCATCAGTATGACCTCTATGTAATCTCCATCAGTACGACCTGCACAGAATGATAGAGCATTCACAGAGAGCTCTACATTACTCTCTGCAGACTGTTTCCATTGACTCGACTGTCACTAGCGACATCGGGAGAGTGATATGAATTTCACGAGCATTCCTTGCAGTTACTTGTAAACCCTTCAATGGCCATTATACATTCTTATCATAGCCTGTCAGACTGTGTAGTCCATTAAGAAATATCCCAATAATAGGTGGAGATCGTTAAGTTTGTCGGTTAGTAGCCCAAGAGCAAAGATCGTGTATGAATACTATCTGCTGCTTATTTCCTGCCAATAAACAGCTCACATCCTACTCTTTTAATCCACACGAAAATGGTTCTGTGAGGCCTCACCCCATCCTCTGTATCATAACTCCCAAGTGTCCATATTTTGGTTGGACAGTCCTATTTTGAATTAAATCCCTCAGCTGCTTTTTTCTATCCTAATTTTACTCTTTACTAGTTGGTGTGTTTGAGTGTATAGCAGAGCTCCACAGCAATAATGTTTAAATCAAGGAACACTATAGGAACCCAGAACACTTCAGCTCATTGTAGTGGTCTGGGTGCCCCCCATATCTCTACCCCCCCCCCACCAAGTTGCCCCCACACACATGCAGACACACACATAGAGACACACTCATATACAGAGACACACACATACATACAAACACACACATACATACACACACACAAACACACATACATACAAACACACAAATATATACAGACACACACATACTGTGGCGGAACCAACCTCGCCACTGGCCACTGGAGGAGCCTGGTTGCCCACCTCTTGCCGCTGGACAATGGCCCTGCATTAAAAACCTTTTATTTTCCCTATGTGAGCAGTGTTACCCCAGATAGCTAAGCCATGGAGCCCATTCGTATACCGAAGGACTATGGGAAAGACTTTGGCTACATGGCGATTGAACTGTATGTATGTGATCTGAGCGCCATTCGGTAATAATGTGCGCTCAGATCTAAGCTATCTGGGGATATGTAGAATGTGTATGTTTTATCTGATAAACATAACAGTATGTATTTTTATGTCTTTTATTGTCCTTTGTCTGCCATGTGGTTAATGGAGATTTGCCTCTGTCCTTGGAGATAATTGGATTACTTCCCAATTATCTCCAGGACAGAGAGGAGGGATTGTGATGCATTGTGGGATTGTAAGCTTGTGATTGGTCAATGTCCAATATGTTTCCCAGTCTTCCATCTGGTCCCCTAGGGGAGTGTCCACCAGGTGGGAGACCTGCATAAAAGCCGGGCAGGTAGCCCCAGTAAATGAGTTCTGCTTGACCCTCAAACGAAGTGTCGTCTCATTCTTGGGGGGAATTGGATTGTATGCTGTTACAGTGTGACTGCCAGGAGTGTAAACTGTTCGTATGGTTTTTCCTTTTCGGCTGTTTACCGCAATTGGTGTGTTTCCTGTTCGGGAGTTGGAGTTTTCGTGTGTTTGCAGTTCGGGAGATTGGTGAATTCATGTGTTTGCAGTTCGGGAGATTGGTGATTGCAGTAGCTGCCTGAACATCTGAAAAGGAGAATATCGCCTAAACGGTTTTTAACCTTTTGTGTGCAAAACGGTCCATTACACACACATACACACACAGACATACATACAGACACACACACAGACAGACACACATAAATACAAACACAAATACACACACATACATATAAACACACACAGGGACGTTTTAGCCGCGAGGCAAACAAGGCATTTGACTTGGGCGGCATTTTCCAGGGGACGGCAAAAAAAGCCGCCCCCCAAATGCCCAGGGCAAATGCCTTGTTAGCCTTGCGGCTAACTGACATGCCGGGCGTGTGGGCCGCGGCTGGCGAGGGAGCACTTCCTCTGAGCTGTCTGCTCAGCTCCCTCACGCGCCACCCGCAGAGTGAGGCTGGGAGCCGGATCGATGACGTCATATTCTGGCTCCCAGCCTCACTCTGCGGGTGGCGTGCGAGGAAGCTGAGCAGACAGCTCAGAGGAAGTGCTCCTTCGCCAGCTGTGCGCCCGCCCAGCAGCCACTGGTAAGGAGGCGCGGGGGCGGGGTTAAATAAATAAAAAAATATGTTAATGTGAGTGAGTGTGTGTTTGTGTCTGTTAGTGTGTGAGTGTGTGAGTCTGTTAGTGTGTGTGTTTGTTAGTGTGTGTGAGTTTGTGTCTGTTAGTGTGTGTTCGCTGTGTGTGTCTGTTAGTGTGTGTCAGTATGTGTGTGTCTGTTAGTGAGTGAGTGTCTGTTAGTGTGTGTGTGTGTCTGTTAGTGAGTGTCTGTTAGTGAGTGAATGTCTGTTAGTGTGTGAGTGTGTCTGTTAGTGTGTGTGTGTTTCTGTTAGCTAGTGTATGCGTATCTGTCAGTGAATGTGTGTATGTATTTAGAAGGTTGGGTGGGGGGGGGGAGGGGGCGTCTGAGTTTTGTCCTGCCTAGGGCAGCACAAAACCAGGATACACCACTGAACATACATACACACAGACAGACCCACACACAAACATACAGACACACATACATACACACACACACACATACATTTAGACACACAAGCATACACACACATACAGAGAAACATTCATACAGACACACATTCATACAGACACATACAGACACACATATACAAAATATTTTAGTAACCCTCCTGTTTCCTACGTTTTAGATGTAGGTGACTTCCCTGGGGTCCAGAGGTGGCTCAGCCTGATGAGAGTCAAAGTTCCCACTCTGACTCTCTCCTCTCCTTCCTCCCGCTCGGCTCCCATTGTAAGCTGGAAGGAGTGAATGCGGCAGTCGCTTCCTCCCAGCTGTGATGTCATTGCCCAGTTAGCTGTTAAAGCGCTGCAGTGCCGACCGGGCCCCCTGGAAATCAATAGCCATTGGTTGGCCCTAACAGCACGGACCACCCGATGGCCCCGGCAGTTATAGCGAGCGGGCTGGGCCTGCAACACAGGGCAGCGAGTGCTGCGGTCGCAGGGTGGCGGGACCCCCTGGAGTGACTGGCCCGGTCACAGCTGCGACCCTTGCGACCGCGGTAGTTCCGCCACTGGTGCCAGGAAAAATAATGTGTTTTCATGGCACTATACTTTCCCTTTAAACTACAATAAATGTGCTTAGAAATCAGTGTGTGTAAATACATTGTTCTTGTTCTAAAATTCCATTTTAGTTGCATAAATTGTTATTAGTCAGTCACCTAAAATATCTCCAAACAGCCACACGCATGACCTCAGCCCCACTCACACCCCTTAGCTAAATGTGTCCCTCTAAAGTAGTGGCACTCCAGTATCTCCCATAATGATCTTACAGCCGTAATGCTGACAAAGCATCAGGGGAGATGTAGTCTACATATGGAGTACCGAAGGTTGCCTGTCGCTACTCTAGGAGCTCCTAGAAAATAGGGGGTAGAAAAGAGGGACAGAAGGATTTGTGCCCAATATATATAGACTGTCCTCCTAAAAGGATGATTTGGGAAGATAAAATTATCTTATAACTATTTTATGTATTATTATGGTTCCCTTTCCAAGATATCTTTGTTGACCCACTGCACAACCATGACTGACATTTCTCTGCCAAGTTGATTTGCCCGCTATTAGTAATCTGAAAATTAAGGTTATTAGTGTAGTACACTAAAAGCAAGTGTGATGCTTCCAATATTCATTACATAAAGAAGATTTAATTTTTTACAAACTCACAGTAAATACACAGTGGTTAGAAACTAACAGCTGAAAAAAAGGAAACTTGACACATTTTATGCCACCATTGGCACTTAGTCATAGGCACCTTTCAACATGTCTTCAGCAGCTTGTTTCTTCTGTATTTTTGCTGCGAATTTGTAAATGTAAAACCATATTATGCAATGAATATTTGAAACCGCCTGATTTTCTTTCTGTCTGCTTTCTTTTCAAGCAAATGCCTCATTCCCCCTGTATAAAATATTTCAGCAATGTCAGGGGTCGACTATTAAGAATCTCAGCTGCACATGGTATAAACCATATGAGTTTCCCTTTAACCTGGAATTATTGCTTTGAGTCTCAGTTTATGGAACAGAAGAAAAATAAACATTTTGCACTAGAAGCATTTTGCAGTAATGGGTGCTTAATCATACGCATTCTTATATGCGGGAGAGTGCCTCATTATTATTTTACTGTATGCTTCTGCCTGTGTGGTTCTAAGCTGGAATGCATCATGCATATATAGCACCCACACCACTAAATGAAATAATAATTATTGTGTAATCTTAGATACCATGGAGGTGATACTTACATTGTTGACGAAAATTCTAATACTGGGGAGCATGTGATACACTTAAACACACTAGAATGTATTGTGAGTTTTATTGCTGTGGAGCTCTGAGATAGATTTATACACACTGCACATTACAGAGAGTTTGATTGTCTCGTAGCTCTGTATGTCTTCCATACAGACCTCAAAGGAAAGAAAAATTGTGAGATAATAAAGAGAAAATGCTTCTTCAATAGAGGGATTTGCTCTGATCTTCCATATAGTGTGATTGATGCAATTTCTATTTAATATCCGCAATATTGGGGCACTGGGAACCTGAGACTACTCAAGGGAATTGAGACATGTTTCTTTGTAACTGTAGCTATCGAAATGTAAAATGTGCACCATGCTTGGACTCCAAATTTGCCAAATTCCATATTCAGCCAAAAAAAGTCTTTGATTTATCTTGTGACTCTCTTGAGGCCTCTTGATGTTTTTTTTTTTCTTTACATTTTCTTTTCCCTCTCCTTTTTTAGATGAACATTTACAAGTGCACTGAAGCGGTACACCAGCAAGCAAACGTTAATTTTCTGCACATCTACGGAGCCAAAGAGACATCCCCGGAGATAGTTAATAGCAAAAATTACAATTTGAAGACGACAGACAATGAAACAAAAGAAATGGTTGGACCTCCAGGGAATTCACAGGAAGGCACCATCACAGAAGAATGTGTTTCAGGTAATGGAAGTCAAGTGACATGTAGCTGTTCACTTACCAAGTTAGGACCTCTCCAAAAGAATCATTAAAGAAGCAGTGACCTTCTCATATGGGCTCGATTTAATATTTTGGGGCAAACTTTTCAAATGATCACAATCTATTAGAAAAACTTTTATCTACAAATATTCCATTAGACTTTAATGGCAATTCCCGTAGATAAATCATTTGAAGAGTTTTTCTACTAGACTGTGGTCATTTGAAAAGCGAATCAACAACCAATAAATCAAGGCTAAAGTCTTTATACTTTCTTCACATTCATGGTTGTCTAGTGAAGTCATGGAGAGACAAATTAATGTCTTTGTTATCAGATATGTGTCTCTTAGCTGGTCTTTAGTCAGTGCTACCGAGGGCACATTATTAAGACATTGGGATCATGAAGTGTCTAGTTTATAATAAAGAGGATGAACAGCCTCCATTTGTCCATTGTTTCCATAAAGACAGTCCAGGTAGAAAAAAATTAGGAAAAACTCATCCATAGTATATGACAGGATGGTTCAGCCGATATACATGCATTTTGGGTCAGACATTGTTTGAAAACCAAGTTAGTCTCTATGGTCTTCCCTGCTTCTGAGTGAAGTAGCGAAAATCATAGAGATCAACTATTGGTTTTCAAAGAACCATGGTTCATGTATATAGCTAAGGGATTCTGACATACTAAAAGTAGTATGATTGGTCTTTTTTCAACCTACTGTGTACCTATAAATGTAAAAAAAGAGAACCAAAGTCCATCAAGTTCAACCCTGAAACCCATTATTTTATGATGTTGATAAAAAACGATGGCAAAAAACTCCCAATTGTAGTTATTTTCAATTATGCCACAAAAGGGAAATAATCCTTCTTGACTCCATAATGGCAATCAGATTTCTCCTTGGATAAATAAGTTGTTTTCAGGGGGCATGTCCTGGACTCCGAGCATGGCGGCAGCATAATCCCTCGGCTCCTCACCACCCAGCAGCAATAAGCTCCCAAAAGCCTAAAACCCGCACATAAATGGGTTGAACTAAAGGTCGAGACATCCCACAAACCTCCAGGACCAAGCAGCCGCACTCAAAAAGGTAGCGGAAACCCTCACCCAGATCTTCCGCATTATCCTCCGGGAAGATGCACCGGACCACTTCAAATTTGACAGGGCCCACAGAGCCCTCAATACTTCTCTCGAAACAGAAAAAATCTTAGACCCAGAGGGACGCTACATCTTCTTGAAAGGCACAATAACAAACAGAACCTACACCATAGCATGTATATACGCCCCCAACCAGAATCAATCGCAGTTAATTCGCAGAACACTGAGCGCACTGGCCGAATTCGCGGAGGGAACCCTCATACTAGGGGGCAATCTCAATGTCCCCCTGGTCCCCCACCTAGATACCTCGACGGGACGGAGTAGCGTCCCACAGAGAGACATCTGCAGTACTCTGAGAGCCCTCAGACAACTAAGGCTGGTGGATTGCTGGAGAGCCTTACACCCCACGGTAAAAGATTATACACACTATTCGAGGGTCCTCGCGAGATACTCGAAGATTGACTACGTATTTCTCCAGCAGGAACAGCTCACTGCACTACAATGGGTAACCATCGAGGCTGCCTCGTGGTCCAACCATGGGGCGGTCATGATGGAATTGGACTCCCCACTGATAAGACCGAGGGTGATGACCTGGAGGCTAAACGACACCCTGTTGGAGGATGTTACAATTAGGGATAAAATCACGGAAGCCTTGAACGACTACTTCTCACACAACGAAAATGGAGATACCCCAGCCACTACCATTTGGGAAGCCCATAAGTGCGTCCTGAGAGGATACATAATTCAACTGGCAACGAAAAAGAAAAAGGAGGCCCAACGACAGATAGTGGACCTCCTCAATAGAATCGGGGATATCGAAGCACGCCACAAGCGAACGCTTGCTGAGGACACCTACAAAGAACTGCTGGATCTCCAAAGCCAACTACATACACTACTGCTCAAGAAGCACTACCGGCAATAACAGTGTCATGGTACCTGAATCACAGACCTCCTTCTCCTCCAGCATTTTCGGCACTTTAGAGGCTGGCCGCGATAGCCCCGCCCCGCAATTCCGCCGACGTCATGACGTCAATGACGTCACGAACCGCCGAAAAAGTCAAACCAGGAAGTTTTGGGGGCGTGGACATCAATTAAAGAGCCAGGCTATAAAAAGTACTCACTTACTGTGAGTCATTGCCCTGTCGTGGTTTCAGCTTGTCTGTTCCCTCAGTGCATCTCTCGTGATTGGTTTTCTGGTTAATTATCTTGGCTTGTATCCTGACCTTGCTGTTCTCTCCTATCCTTGTACCCGGCTTGACCTTCGCTTACCTGTCTTCTCGTTCCCTCGACCTCAGCTTGTCTCTGACCATTCTTAGTTTATGTGACGTTAGTCCGGCCACTCTAAGGTCCGGTATACGTCTTTATAGTTTCAGTACTGCGTGTTGGATCCCTGTCTTGATCCTGACATTACGACAGGGTCAATGGATCCTGCAGGTACTGCCTCCCAGGACTCTAGATTCGAAGCCATGGACCATAGAATGGACCAAATGGCTATGGCCTTGCAGTCATTATTATCTCGGCCGAATCTGCAGCCGGAGGAGAATCGTACTTCCCTTATTGCTCCTGTAAACACAGGATTAGAAGTAGCTACAGTTGGGGCCTCCTCTCATGTTACCTCACCGCTACGCTATGGTGGTTCACCATATACTTGTTGAGGTTTTCTGAACCAGATTAGTATTCACTTCGAACTACAACCGCGGATTTATCATAACCTTGCTGATAGATAAAGCACTTAGATGGGCTAATCCGTTATGGGAGAATGATAACCCGTTAGTTTATAACTACAACGCTTTTGTGGAAGCCTTTAGGAGAACATTTGATCCTCCGGGAAGGAAGGCTAACGCCGCTAAGGCATTGTTACGCGTAGGCAAAGGAATAGTACTCTGGTGGATTATGCGTTAGAATTCAGATCTCTGGCTTCTGAGGTAAAATGGAATGAACAAGCCTTCATGTTTTTCTAAATGGTTTAGCTGATGAAATATTAGATGAGGTAGCCACTAGAGAACTCCCTGATAATTTGGATAAGATTTGATCTCATTTATATCTCGCATAGATGAACGCATGAGACAAAGACAAAATACTAGAGATAGAATCCGTAGGTCTTCTATTAGATTAGCTCCCTCGTTCCAGAATTCCAGTTCTACAGCTCTAGCATTACCTGAACCTATGCAATTGGGGATTACCCAACTAACAGAACAGAAGAGACAATACAGAAGAAGGGAGGGTCTTTGTTTATATTGTGGACAAAGGGGTCACCTACGCTTTAACTGCCCCACTCGGCCGGGAAACGCTCGCACCTCAGTACCTCCAGAGGACAGGCCTTGGGTGATGAAATCTCGTCCTCTATAAATAAACAGAAAGACTAATTCTAATTCATATCTCTTCAATACCTTTGCTCTAATAGATTCCGGAGCAGCAGAAAGCTTCATGGATCAAGCTTTTGCCAAGAAACTACTTCCTTTTCAACTAAAAGAGACACCCTTCCATGTGGTTTACTTCAACCTTTAGAAATACCTAAGAAACCATGGTCTAGTATAGCTATGGACTTTATTGTTGAATTGCCGGTATCTAAGAAACAAACAGTTATTCTCACTGTTATTGACAGATTTACTAAAATGGCTCATTTTATCCCATTACCCAAGCTACCTTCTGCACCCGAATTGGCTGAGATCTTTGCAAAAGAAATCTTTCGCTTGCATGGAATGCCTACGGATATTGTCTCGGATAGAGGTCCCCAGTTCGTATCTCGTTTTTGGAGATCCTTCTGTTCCCAGATGGGCATCACATTAAATTTCTCGTCGGCATACCATCCCCAATCTAATGGGGCAGCCAAACCTACCAACCAAAAGATCGAACAATACTTGCGCTGTTTTGTGTCTGAACATCAAGATGATTGGGTTGATTTGATTCCTTGGGCAGAGTTGCACACAACAATTTGGTTTGTAATTCTACTCGTAATAGCCCCTTCTTCATGACTTCATCCTACTATTCTTCCGTTGGTGTCCTCTTCACAGGGTATACCGATGGTTGATATCCAGGTCGACAATCTGAGGAAGTTGTGGGATCAGATTCACCATATTCTTGTTCACACTTCGGCTTTATCTAAACGTCAAGCGGATAAGCGCAGAAAACCTGCTCCTGTTTTTCACCCAGGGGATAAGGTATGGTTGAATACCAGACACATACGTTTAAGGGTTCCTTCCATGAAATTCGCACCTCGTTACATAGGGCCTTACAAGGTCTCACGGAAGATCAACCCAGTTGCATATCAACTTGTGCTCCCTCCTGGATTGCGCATTCCTGATTCTTTTCATGTTTCACTATTGAAACCTCTCGTTTGTAATAGATACAACTCGGCTTCGACTCCCCCCTCTTCTGTTCAAATTGAGGGTCAGGAGGAATATGAGATTAATTTCATTCTTGACTCCCGTTTCTCTCGTGGGAAGTTACAGTATCTTGTTGACTGGAAGGGATATGGTCCTGAAGAAAGGTCCTGGGTGTCTCATGCGGATATCCACGCTCCTCGCCTTCTCCGGGCATTCCATGCCCGCTTTCCACAGAATGGTTAATGCTGAGCAGCAATTATGCAAATGAAACCTGGTAACTGATTTTGGGGTCAAAGGCCGGTTACAGCCTATCAGAACTAAAGGAGGGGTATTTAGGCCCAGTTCTCAGCCTGCTCAGTGCCCTGTCGTGGTTTCCCTTGTGGTTGTCTGAGAGCGCGTTCCTGTTTATAGTTTTCTACCTGGTTTTGACTTTGGCTTTGTTTATTGACTTCTCTATATTCTGGTATCCTGACTCCTGGCTTTCCTCATCGCTGTGTCCCTTTCTGTGTTCCCTGACCTCGGCTAGTATTTTTGACTATTCTTTGTACATTAAATCCGGCCATTCTAAGGACCGGTAATACGTTACTTATTTGTCATTCGTGCTGTACAGTTCTACGTGCTGGATCAAACAGTAATGCTGACACACAAGACGTGACTATGATCTACTACTCGACCCACGGTTGCACACGAGGGAGACGGTTGACAAAGGAGTAAGCGCACAACACCTCTAGCACATGGTAAATTAAAGAGGGCCCCCCTCCCCCCTTAACCCCCCCCCAAAAAAAAGCCATGAAGGAGACATACACACCAACTGAGACCCACAAGACCCACACCCACAGGCCTGGAAATGGGACAGTCAAATCACCAACTAAAATGATGCATGATCCGTAGTCCCAACATCACACCCTACAAAACCAACCCAAGTCCCGGACAAACAGTACCACCCCATCCGAGAAAACACACACAGAACCAGGGAGGATTAGAACCCCGAAAATCCGCGGGACACACATATCACAACCTCACAATCCCGACGCAGGGGCGTGCACATGAGAAGATATACGTGCCCTGACCCTAGTAACCCCGACACAAATACAAGACCACCTCAAGGCAACCACCTACTACAGGACTCTATACCACACGATAGACGATACACGCAAAGTGAAGAGAGGACAGCACCCTCCACAACTAAGTAGATGCGATCTTGACACCTGCTGGACGCAGCCAAAGCGCTCATGCCCGCAATGTGGAAACAGACACAGTCCCCAACGTTAACCCAATGGTACGACAGAGTGGAGGAGATCCGCTCCACAGAAAACGTGAGGGCGTCCCTTGTGGGACAAAGCAAAAAATATGTGGAGCGGTGGGGGCCGTGGCTGGGAAACGTCGCTGGGGGATGGGGGGGCGATGTCATGACCCAGCATACTGACCCGGCGGATGCGGGGGGGCAATAGGGGACACACATGCCTTCCAGATGACGAGATCATCATACGACTGAACGGAGACTGGGAATTAAGCCCAATAACAAGACCACAATGTCACGTATTCATCCGCTTATAGAAATGTGGTTAATGACATTTACTGTCCACACAGGAAAAGTTGTGCCGAGCAGCAACCTAATCCACAGAAGGGTTAATGCTGAGCAGTAATTGTGCAAATGAAACCTGGTGTCATGTATTCATCCGTTTATAGAAATGTGGTTAATGACATTTACTGTCCACACAGGAAAAGTTGTGCCGAGCAGCAACCTAATCCACAGAAGGGTTAATGCTGAGCAGCAATTATGCAAATGAAACCTGGTAACTGATTTTGGGGTCAAAGGCCGGTTACAGCCTATCAGAACTAAAGGAGGGGTATTTAGGCCCAGTTCTCAGCCTGCTCAGTGCCCTGTCGTGGTTTCCCTTGTGGTTGTCCGAGAGCGCGTTCCTGTTTATAGTTTTCTACCTGGTTTTTGACTTTGGCTTTGTTTATTGACTTCTCTATATTCTGGTATCCTGACTCCTGGCTTACCTCATCGCTGTGTCCCTTTCTGTGTTCCCTGACCTCGGCTAGTATTTTTGACTATTCTTTGTACATTAAATCCGGCCATTCTAAGGACCGATAATACGTTACTTATTTGTCATTCGTGCTGTACAGTTCTACGTGCTGGATCAAACAGTAATCCTGACACACAAGACGTGACTATGATCTACTACTCGACCCACGGTTGCACACGAGTGAGACGGTTGACAAAGGAGTAAGCGCACAACACCTCTAGCACATGGTAAATTAAAGAGGGGCCCCCTCCCCCCTTAACCCCCGCCAAAAAAAAGACATGAAGGAGACATACACACCAACTGAGACCCACAAGACCCACACCCACAGGCCTGGAAATGGGACAGTCAAATCACCAACTAAAATTATGCATGACCCGTAGTCCCAACATCACACCCTACAAAACCAACCCAAGTCCCGGACAAACAGTACCACCCCATCCGAGAAAACACACACAGAACCAGGGAGGATTAGAACCCCGAAAATCCGCGGGACACACATATCACAACCTCACAATCCCGACGCAGGGGCCTGCACATGAGAAGATATACATGCCCTGACCCTAGTAACCCCGACACAAATACAAGACCACCTCAAGGCAACCACCTACTACAGGACTCTATACCACACGATAGACGATACACGCAAAGTGAAGAGAGGACAGCACCCTCCACAACTAAGTAGATGCGATCTTGACCCAACAACACTGACACATACACTAACACAGGACGGACCTAGGTGCCCGTACCTTAATGTACACATCACTTGACCACCTGCAAACGACCGCAGACCCGCCCAGGGGACCGCTCAGCGGCTGCAAACAGACAAACTAGACTTGTTAAGCAACATACCGGTACCTTTGTATCAAAATAAAATGTTTTAATGTTTCCATGTTATTGGTTAGCCAGCCGGGCTGTTTAGAGACCTGCGTGTCTCATTTTATACTACTATCTTAGAGATCTGCGAATCTCACATGACCAAGTATTATTCAGCACGTTGGAAACCTGCGCGTTTCCACCTATCTTCTTGCATGATATTCAATGGAAAATTTGACAAACTTTCAATAAAGAGATTTACAAAAAAATTAAATAAGTTGTTTTCATACATATCTATAGAATCTTCACAACCTCGTTAGAATCCTTTCCTGTGCTGTAAGTGAAAACTCCTTTCTTCCAGTCTAAATGGGTGACCTTATCTGATGTATATTCCTTCTACTAGGTTATCACATAGTGGTTTGTACTGAACCTGTTTATATTTGTATAGTGCCATCATATACCCTCTGAGGCACCTTTTTGTTCTATGGAAAACAAATTATGTTTTTCTAGACTTTCTCCATAACTAATGCTTTCCATATACATCATTTTAAAAATGTTTTTAAAAAAAATATATTTCCTTTTAATACTTGATGTTACAGATTATTATATTTAAATAAAATAGTTTTGAGGCGACTATTGTCATTTGAATACTGAATAATTACAAAATGAGTCCTGAATTTTATATGAAAATGTCAACCACCAGTCAACCTCACTCCACCCCCCTCCCCAGGCAGTAAGCATCTGCTTAATTAAATACAAATAAATAAATGAAACAGGACACCCTATCCCCCGATGTCATAGAATGTTGAGGTTTAATCATATTTTGGGCACTTGGGCAGGAAACTGTTCAGCTGCTATTGCATGTTGGGAAGGGTAAATATGGTCTATCAGTGGGCATCTAATAAACACCCATCCTTATCCCTTACTGAATCTACAGCAGTTGAGGAGTTATATCTGTATAACTGACTCCAATGAAATTAGGTCAACTGCTCATGAATCGCCCATCTAATAAAAGTATGCATGGAAGGGGAGGACTTCATTAATACACAACAGGGGTCCCATTGATTCACTTTTACACAACACGTGATGGGGTGGTTTATTTTATTGAGATGTCAGTCAAGAAGAGGGAATAACTGAGTGTGGAAAAGTATATTTTTGATTGCGCTATAAATTTTTACTGCTTTGGTAAAAGTTGACATTCTAGCAGAGTGAGAAGCAGGCATCATGAGGGAAGTGAGTTTAGAAAAGATGAGTTAAATAGGATGTACAAGAAAATGCACAAGAAGTCAAAACAGAAACAGTGTAATAATTCACTCTACTCCAAGAATTGTAGAAAATTACAAGCGATTGACACATTTTCACCCACCAACTAAAAAGAAAAAACTAAATTAAAAACTAAATTGTAAAAAACTCCAAATGAGCTATTTTTGGTTTGAAATATTAGATTTCCTGATGAGTTTCTGCAAATGTCAGGTTTATTGAATAACTCAGAACTTTTTGTGACAGCAAGAAGTTCACAAACTAATCAATGCATAAACAGAGTAAGCCCTACTCATTTCTTCATCACATGCACATTCAAGCACCTAAACACAAAGCATGACTTATTTATCAAGGAAAATTTAATAAAAGACATAAACCTGAAATCTGACCCATCTACATCCAACGGTGAATTATGTCCTGGTCTTATGTGAATTTCTGTGTTTCATTGTAAGCTTTGCATATTGTGGATTTTTCAAAGACTTGATTATGAAGAATGGTTTATAATAGCTCATGACTAACCAAAGAGAGTTAGCATTGCGTAAAACGTGGACATGTAGAGAAAATATAAGCCATTCATTTTCGGATGAAAGCGTTTTTGTCTTAATTTTAGCTATTCGTCCGAAAGTTGAATGAACGAATATAAATTACAACAAATGAAACAAAGACCAAATTGCTTGTTATGAGATTATATCTTCAATCATTCATTTTAGTTTATTACAAGGAGGCTGCCTACTTGTAAAATTTACACGTAGAAGGAATAGGAATATTTACAAATAGAAGGAATATGAATCCCAAATCCGCCCCCTCCTACAGTGGGTCAATATGACCCTATATTAGTATAATTAAATCCTCCCTCATGCGCCTACCTGCCATGCCACCAGTATGGTCATGTCTACTAAAAAACAAGCAGCCAGGGGTTGCTTGCTGTCATAAGAAAATACTAATGACTGGACATCTATTGCTGCCTTGTCGCTAATCTAATAAATGGCACAGGTTTCCCATGCTCCTATGGTGTGGCACATATTTAAATAATCAACTGGGGGCTATTGAAAATAATAATGGGGGACACAGTGTCCCCCCTTGTACCATCCATTGGTGGAAGGTAATAGCACTAAATAATAATGCAGCTCAGAATTTCATTAGTCCGAATGAAATTCCGGAATTAAAATAATGGCCACCTTTCATCTGAAAACGGATGAACAAACAAACTAAATTTGGTTCGGAAGAAATAAAAAATTTTTCCATCCAAATGTATTTGGACGAAATGAAAATGTCAGGGGTGACCAAGTCTAGTATTTAATTGGTCTTTTTTCAGTGTAAATTTGCATTGTTATGCAAGCCATATGGGGAGACGGATAATGGTAAGCATTACTGTAGGGATAGATATCGCTTCTGCAAGACAGTAAATTAATTATGGAAGTCAGTGACGGGTAACACAGCCTGACTCATTCATCTATTCAATTAACAGCGTGATAACCTTGAGGGAAAATATAAGGATGCTTCAGCCTGTTTTATGTGTGTCTGTTTAATTATTGTTTGCATATCCTGCTCTTTGCTTTTTAAACACTTTTCAAATCTTAATAAAATAAAAAAGGATGGAAACCTAAAATCTAAATTTATATACAGAAAGTACTCAGGAAGAAAGCACAATTCACTTACACCCTCAGTTTGTGAAAAAACAACCCACTAAAATGATCTTTCATAGGCACGCCCAAGAGCATGTGAGGGGTATGATCAATTCCCAGGGAACTAAAAAAGTTACTAATTGAAGAATAGTAGTTTATGCTAGTAACTGTATAACATGTTAATCAAATATTTAACATAGTATCAAGACTACACAGAAACAGGAAAAAGAGGGGCGAAACATAGGGGAAAAGCAATTCTTATTAGATAACCAGCACAACTCACCCTAGTGTTCCTCAAATGCCTCAGCACACAATGATCTTAAAGAAAGCTCTCCAATTAGAAATACATTTACATCACCATTTACATCCAGAAGGAAAATCGACAATACCTTGGCCAAAAAAGCCTACAATGTAATTTATTATAGTGTTACTCAATTATCGAAGCTTCTCCTAAATAAATAGCTATCTCTTATAGGAGTTAGTGTGACCAGAGATAAATACTCAATTTCCAGAGCTAAATAAACCTAGATGTCTTCGGCTCCTATATGAACCTACAATGACCTCAAACTAATTGTAAAATCAAACTTCAATGTATTAGCTACTCAATAACTTGGCTTGGGAGAAACCTACCATACTATTTAGCACTTAAAGTATGAATTCAGGTTCCATCTCAGAGTAGAGTGTGCTATAATTAATGTCCTTAAATATGAAGCCCACTCTAGGGCTCTTTGTAACATCTGACCATCAATTCAAACACCTCCAGCAACATAATGTCTCCACTTCCTATTATTACCTTTAGACTGTAAGCTTGTGAGTCATCTTTCATCTTGTGGTGTCTAGATTGGCCACAAAATCATAGTTGACTTTACATCATGGAAGCAATGGTGTACAATCATTTAAAATAAAAATGGACACCTTATGCATTGCTTCAAGAGGTCATAGAACATGTAGGTTCAATGAAAGTCCAGGAATGTGAAGAAGTGACTAATTTAGAATTGTCAGTCAGCTGCACTGTTCCAGCAGAATGTGTATTGAGGGGGGTTAAAAGATAATACCTGCATCATTTCTTAACTATAGCCCTTATTTCATCCTGTGTAAACATGTAACATCATCTATGTGGTCATCTAATTGTCTGTTTGTTTCCCTGCTAGGAGACAGTGGAAGTCATTCTGGCCTGGAGAAGAATGACCTTGAAAAAATAGTGGGATTCAACAATGTTCCAAAGCTGCGCTACTCTCTAGGCTATGAACGACAGGCGGAAGAGCTTTGTGTGTCTTTCTTGGAGGGTAGGTTAACCATGTGAAAATAACTGATGAACATCCACTTTAAAGTATTCCGCTCTTCCTATGACAGAAAACACAACTTTTAGAATTCTGGTCAAAGTAGGTATTTTGGTGACATTGGCTTGTGCACATATTGGCACAGTTCACTATTCACCAGCCACTTTTTACTTGGGCACATGCAAGCATCTCATACCGTCTGGATGGACCTCTGGACTGATGATGATCTTTACATCTACTGTCATTTAACTGGGCTTCTATTTTTGCCAGTGAAGGGCCATTTTTTTTTCAGCTTATGATTCAAATCAATGTGTTATTTGATTTTGAGGGCCCACTTGGCCAGTCTGGGCTTATTCTGATCTTGTGGGTGCCAGTTCCTCTATATTACCTGATGACTCTGCTACAGTAATTGCAGATACTTAGTAACTAGTAAAATGGCAAAAGTAAAATTTTACCTTGTGGAAATTATTCCCCCGCCCCTGTGGTGCATGGGAATAATTTTGCCTGGAAATGACAATTTGCTCAGTTGTGCACAATCTTACAGGACTGACTGCAGGAAACCAAATATGTGCAAAAACAGTCCCTTGAATCTTTTTGGCCATTGCTAATAAACATTTAACAAAAATAGCTTTATATTTATATCAGTTACGTCCACTTTGGTAATATGGCATATACACTTCTGCAAACATAAATAATCAATTTTTTCAACCAGGCTGGTAATGATTGGTTGTCACACTATAGAGTGGTTACGAAGGTTAAGTGCCCCTTTAAGATCTGGGTTTAATTAGTATTTTTAATAAATATCATTATTAAGTGACCTATGATTTGATTCAACTATTAGTAAAAATATACCTTTGTAGGCAACAGATGTAGCATGCTACCTTGTGATTTGGTTCTCTGCTATTCTGTATTTTAGCCATCGGCCCTACACTTCCAAGTGCGGACAACACTGAAAGCTATTGCTATGTCCTGGGTACCTTAACCACTCCTCATGGGCAAACAGAAGCTCAAACGTCACTGATAAAAAGGGCTCAGCACACAGTGTGGGAAGAAGCCTTGGTGTTCCCTCTCAATGAGGACGAGAGGACTGAGAGTTCTTTAACACTCACCTTGCGGAACTGTGACTGCTTCTCCAGATATAAAGTAGCTGGGGAAATCACTCTGAAACTGGCACATGTAGGCATCCCTTTTGGCACTGCACGTTGGGTGGATCTCAAGGTTCCTGAAAAGGTGGGTCCAACACTTTTTTTATATTTTCCAGCTGGATTGATGGATAGACAGACAGATGGATGGACTGATGAATGAATGGATGAATGGGTTATCAGGGTCTTCCTCTGGCATTCTCCCCGATGCTGCATGCTCTCTAAGTGTGCAGTTTTATTCACACCCACATTCAAGTCCGAATTTACTTCCGAATTCGTGTCCGAATGAAAAATATATTGAGCCAAATTTGGCACGCTCTTATGAGGTCATGGATCGGGCTGACACAAGTTTCTACCACTGAGTCATTTGAAACTCTAATATAACGTTCTCCAATAGGAAACGAGCGCTACTTACTTATACTCACCTGTCCCAATCATAGTTGTCCTGTTGTATTTTTTGTTAGCCCAATACAGTGTTCTTGTAGTCTCTCCTAATTTGGTATTTAACTCTTGGCGTGTTTATCATTTATCCTGACCTCTCTCCTGTCCTTGATGTCAGCTATTTCTCTCCTTCTAAGGACCGGAACATGGATAGTTTGTAATTTGTTCTGGGTTTGTGTGTTTTCGTTCCTACCCTCATCCTGACAGATGGATGGATGGAGTGGTGGATGGATAGATGGATTATGACTAAATGGAGGAAGGGAAGGATGGGTGTATGGATGGAGGAAGTAATGGAAGGATGGATGGAATGGTGGATGAATGGATGGGTGGATGGAGGAAGCGAGGGATAAATAGAGGGAGAAAGGGAGGGAGGAATGGATGGATGGATGAAGGGATGGGTGCAGTGGTGGATGGATTAATAGATGGATGGAAGGAGGAAGGGAAGAATGGATGGATGGATGAAGGGATGGTTGGATGGAGGAAGGGATGGATCTATGAATATTATGCTTTTAGCAGATTTAGGGGAATCTGGTTTCTCTTTGTAGCAGAATAACAGATTGTCTTAGTTTAAAATAACTGGCTCAATACCATAAAAGTACAATCGTAATTAAATATCTCCTGTCTTGACTTCTGCTCTGTAGGATGTGCCAAGGCATGAATCCTGAGTCATATGTGTGGTTTGAACGCGGAGACATTGAGCATTTGGCATTATTAACTTACCATTCAATTAAAATGTTTTTCAAACAAACCACTCTCCCTATGCTACAATGCGTTGGTCACAGATAACACCCCAGATAAACTGAAATACATGGCAAAATGGGAGCAGGACCTGGGATTTCATATCTCCCAAGCAGACTGGCAGTCTGCAAGGGCAAATACAAAACAGGCATCGAGTAGCCTCTCGCTATGGGAGGCCTACTGCAAGATAACTATGAGGTGGTATCTGGTACCACAGACACTAGCAAGTATGTACTCAGGCGCTACGAACTTGTGCTGGAGATGCGAGTTGGACACTGGAACCATGTTACATGTGTTCTGGAAATGCCCGTTGCTAGACGGATTCTGGAAACAAATCCAAACCCTGATCTCAAGTACGACTGGCACCTCCATCCCATTGCGACCGGACAAGTACTTATTACATGTTATACCAGACCTAGACACACACCCTCACAAAAAAGTGATTTTGAATATACTGACGGTAGCAAAAGTAGCCTTAGCTGGTAACTGGAAAAGCAAACAAGTTCCTCAGATAGAGGTGATTATCAACAAAATGAATGTGATTAGCATATACGAGAAAATGGCCAGCAAGCTAAAAGGATGCCTAGGAAAGTATGATAAAGATTGGGTATGTTGGGCGGCTACATAGTCACTGAATGACAACTAGGACAAACCGACTGCTCGAACCAAATGGTTAACCCCCATAGCGGGCCAGTAAGGAAGCACACAGGCGCAAACGTTAGGGGACCAAAGGGGTCAGGGCGTTGAGGTGCTCAGGCGAATATATAGCCTCATCAATCTCACAAGTTACACAAGGAAGGTGACTTATAATGTACTGCAGGCTGTGGCGTGAAGCTGTGCTCAGGGACTTCCCCCCCCCCCTCTTTTCCTTCTGTATCCCATCCCCTCCCTAGTTAAATTTAAAAAATGTACCGCATGCTTTGAAGCTGTATGCATCACATCGAACATCGCCTGGCACACGGATTATTTGTATATTTAATTGGTTACTTGATCAATTGAGTGAGAAGTATGGCTGGATACAGGGCGAAATGTAGAATGTTATCCGCAAATGCTGTTGTAAAGGCGGACTGTAATTATGTACCATGTTATGTGTTGCAAATGTCATTTAATAAAAATGAGAAATGAGAAAAAAAAATGTTTTTCAAACTATTAGTTGTTTTATTGAATAAGAAACCCTTGAAATCCTAATCAAAGATGGAAATAATTATCTCATGTTTATGCAGTCATGTCTTTTGAGAATAGCAGCCTGTCCAAATTTATATGAGACAAAGTTCATATTATGATGGGTTTTGGAAACAGAGACCCTGAAAGCTCCTTCAACTGGATGAATCAGATAGGGACTGCTTGTTTATCTCACAACATGAGTCTGTCGATCATGCTCTGCAGGTCTCTATATGGGACTGTCATCTCAACTTCTGGCCCTCCAGATGTTGCTGAATTACAACTACTGTAATTTCCTGGGCATCTATTTATTTCTGTGAATTCTGGGAGTTTTTGGCCAATCTTCATCTTGGAAGCTGAAGTTTGAGATCTCAGTTCTATTTGAATAGTCTTCAAGCCACCAAAGGTGCAGGATTTACTGTCTATCTAGTTCTATCCCAATGACGAGAACAACAAATATAAACTGCTGTGATAGAGGACTGGTTTCTTAGGCCCTGCTTTATATATATTATAATGCTGTCTACATCCCAAGTGTATTGGGTCTAATATTAATACTTTTTTGTTATTATTAAATTTCCTTAATATTCTGTCCCACCACAAATCCAAAAACACAAAAATTTAATTTGAAAATGGAAATGTCTAGTTTGAAGACAATCACAGGTAAACCAGTTGAGGATCTTGGACAAACCATCATCACTTCCATTTATATCTGAAATCCATACGTTTGTGGTTCTGAATCCAATGGTTAAAGGACCACTATAGGCACCCAGACCACTTCAGCTTAATGAAGTGGTCTGGGTGCCAGGTCCATATAAGATTAACCCTTTCTGCTGTAAACATAGCAGTTTCAGAGAGGCATAGCCCGGCGGGGAAAACGGGTAAGATTTAACCTCTTCATCACCCTAGAGCCCGCCGGGAGGGGGGCACTGAGGGTGGGGGGGGGGGGAACCTAGAGACCCTATAGTGCCAGGAAAACATACTCGTTTTCCTGGCACTATAGTGCCCTGAGGTTGCCCCCACCCTCAGGGTCCCCCTCCCGTCCGGCTCTGGGGAGAGGAAGGGGTTAAAACTTACCTTTTTTCCAGCGCCGGGAGGGGAGCTCTCCTGCTCCTTTCCTCCTCCTTTCCTCCCCTTCGGCTGAATGCGCAAAGTGAGAATCACGCAAGCGCCTCTAGCGGCTGTCAATGAGACAGCCACTAGAGGATTTGGAGGCTGGATTAACCCTGCTATGTTTATAAAAAAAGGGGTTAATCCTAGAGGGACCTGGCACCCAGACTACTTCATTAAGCTGAAGTGGTCTGGGTGCATAGAGTGGTCCTTTCAGGCTCACAAAAAGTCTAGGATTGACATTTTTACAGTTCCCAAAGACATCCCAAAGACAGGTCTTTCATTATCACTTTCTGTATCACTTGTAGTCTTTACTGCTTCCACTGGAGGGCTATTTCAGGTATCTACTATCCATTCTATATCATTGTCAGATTTTACTGCTTCCACTGAAGGCTAATCCGTGTATCTACTACCTATTCTATACCATTGCTAGCTTTTACTGCTGCCCCTGGAAGGCTATTCCGGGTACTAGCTGTTTAGTCTTTAATGTTTCATCCTCAAACCTTGTTTTTTTTTCTTTTATTACTTTTTTTTGTTTTTTTAAAATAAAATTATCCCCTCTTTCAGGATTTTGTGTATACTTTCCTGTATGTTAATGTTGCAATTATGTGTCTTCTCTTCTTTTAGTGGTAAATCTTCACGTGGTGCTATCTTTCTGGGGATGTATAAATGAATCATTTAACAACGAAAAAATATTGATTTAATAAAAATAAACATGCAGCTTCGTAAAAAAAATTTATTAAAACATATTAAGGATAAATATAAACCAGCAAATTCCCACGCAAAGCTCCAAGCATATTGACTCGGCAATGATTTAATTAGATTATATTTAAAGCTTTGAGATTAACATCTTTGATCTTTCTAGTGTCGCTCTTATAATGATATGTTTTAAATGCAATCTTTTTTTAGTATTTATATTACATGTATTTTTTTTGTTTTGTTTTGTTTTTGCTTATTGAAGTAAAACATATTAAACCCCTTTATTGCACTGGGTTAAGCGGAACGCTTTATATCAAGAGATGCAAAATAACATAAAGACGTTCTGAGTTCTACACCAGAAAGAGACAATTCTTTCATCTGTGACCATGTAGGCATCTTCATACAGAGTCTGCCTGTCCTACTTTAAGAGCTAGATATCTGTTTGCGTCATTAAAGACCCTGGAGAGATAGCTCGGTGCAGATAATTCCTGAATCACTTGTACAGGAGACGGAAGGGGAGTTCAGCACTATTTATAACTGCTCTCATACACTGTGTTCCTCACATTTACAGCTCATCCTTAATTTAATATCCTGATGCAGTAGATTTGAAGAACAAGACTGTATCATTCCAGATACAGTAATAAATCAGATTATCTTGCCCTTACATTGATAAATTCTTTTGAAATAGTTTTTATTGATACATTTTTATAAAACATAACAATATCATTTTAAAACAAGCAAGTAATGAACATAGTACATTAAGGACAATTAAAAAAACGGAGGGGGGAAGAGATCCATCAGATTTGTCGATAATAAAAATAGGTCTGTAGTGTGTACAGTATAGAGCAGAGATGCATGGATTGTTACAGCAGGTACCTTATAATACCATCTCTACAGGGTGTGTGGTACTCATATACGATGCCTTTTTTTCACCTCAGTTTCCCAGATATCCCATTGAAGTTTTAATGCTTCGGAATATGGATAGGATTGTCTTAGTGCCTTTTCAGACCTTTTATTGTCTAGCATTATATTTATGACTTCTTTAATACATGGAATAGTCGTAGACTCTCAATAGATTGGTATAAATGTTGATGCGGCAATCAGGACATGAGATAAGATCTCCTTTAACCAAATGCACAAGCATGTTCTATCCCTCTTTTGTAATTATAGTTTTATACAAGGCTCCATTTTTTAATATGCATTTCAATTAATAAACACATGCTTGGACATCAGAATGTATTTCTGAAAAGGCACAGACTGGGCATTTCATGCAAATGAACAAACTGCTCCCATAGTTCTCTGGAGCAAATACATTGTATCAATGTGATTTATTTTATTTTTTTTGCACAATTTGGCAAGTTTATTAGCATTGGTTATCTTTTAAGGATCCAATTGCAATCCAACGTATCAATCAAACATGACAGGAAAATAGAAAAACTCATACGTTTTCTTGTTAAACACCACTCGTTGTGAATATTGCAAACAAAATATCACACCTCCCACATTTTAAGAGTAACCATCAAGAATGCACAAGGTGTGCTAACTATGCTGAGAAGAGGGTCACACAAAAGGTGTTAGTTCTAAGGGTTCATTTTAATATGATGGAAGTGCAGAGGTGATTGTAAGACATTCCTGTTTTGGGACATTGTGAATGTTGGTTCCTTCTTTTAGAATTTATTTTATTGAGTTTCCTGCTCTGGATTCTGCAGCACCACGGCTCATTTGGTCCTGGCCCAGTACGCTAAGTGTCATTTCATTAGTTCCTTCTACATCTTAGAGGATGAGATGGCAGAAACTGGTTAACATAAAAGGACTGCCCTACCAAATCCAGGACAGTTTGGAGGAATGCATTTGTTTCTTGTGAAGGGTTATGCCAGAATTTCACAAACACACAATAATAACCATATTTTGAATGCTTTAGACCAGGGGTTCCCAATTCAGTCCTCAAGTACAACCTACCAGTCCAGGATTTAGGGATTACCTAGTTGTGTCTAAAGTTTTTTTTTCTGTTTTCTAAAAACACCTTAGTTGGTTAAACCCTAAATCCTGGACTGTTAGGGGGTACTTGAGGACTGGGTTGGGTACCACTGCTTTAGACCATTAATTTGATCAGTCCTGTAATACAATAATTTAATTTTGTTTTCTGTGAAATAAATGTGACTGTGTGCGTTTATGAATATCTGTCTTCACCCACAGAGCCCGAATTACTCTGGGGAAATCCTGCTGTCTGCGAGCTATCTCCCTGCGGCTAATCGTCTGATTGTTGTTCTTATCAAAGCAAGGAATATCCATTCTGATAAATATAATGATCTTCTTGGTAAAGGTAATACGTGCGCAATCATTCTTCAACCTCAGATTGGGCCATATGGATTGACACACGCTAAGCTCTGCATGTTCCACATGTATTGTAGCACCAACTGTGGGAGGTGATAAAATATTCTGTGAATATAAATAACATTTGGATGTAATCTGTCACACAAGTGTGTGCAGGACTTAACTATCCAGTGGGAATCATCTACTAAATAGTGTGCACTTATGCAATGTGCGTACAATGAAAACAAATATTTGTAAGAGCCTCTGTGTCTTGGAATAAAATTGAAGTACAAAAATTACAACAACCATATGTTGTATCCTATGTGGCTATTATATGTAAACTGATAATTGATTTCATTTCTGTTTATACATGTGCTTTAAATGTACATTACTTCACCTGTACTGTCTACCAAAAATGTTGCACTGCTTCCATCGTTTTCCTCTTTACATCCACTTCTTGCACAATCCGTGTGCGCACTGCTAATCAATGAGTAATTATAATGCTGATGTGATTCTTTTCATTACTTATAGATCTTCTGGTGAAGATAAACCTGAAGCACCAGTCAAAAAGACTGAAGAAGAAGCAGAGTAAACGGGCTAAACACAAAATCAACCCTGTTTGGAATGAGATGATAATGTTTGAGGTGCCTCCAGAACTCCTTAAGGAGGTCAGTGTGGATCTGGAGATGGTCTGCCAGGAGCCTTTGGAAAGGTCTAACCGTGTCACTGGAGAAAGCCGTACCCTAGGCAAGTGCTGCTTGGGTTTAGACAGGACTGGAACTGGAAAAAACCATTGGCAGGAAATGATGAACAACCCCAGGAGGCAAATAGCTATGTGGCATTATTTGCAACCATGATGAGTTCTGGTCACATGACCACATGGGCAGCTCCCATGTTTCAGGTGTTTTGCTGCCGCAGTAATTCAGCCAATGACAATGACCATTGAGTCGGCTTTATTTTTCTTGGCATATCATCTCACTTCCATAAACACAGCTGAAATCAGGAAGAATATGTCTGAGAAAACGTTTGAAGTCTTTGGCAGGGCAGCTTCTGTTCCGATATCGGAGAACGGGGGACCTTGAAGTATTGTAGACTAATAACTAACTAACAAAATATATGTTTACATTTTAGTTTTTATCTTGTGACAGAAAATATACAATATATGTCCCTGGTTGCTCAAAATTATTGTTATTTCAATTGTTAGACAGTGACAATATATCCTACCAAAGTTAAACTCAGCACGACTTGTTAAAAAATTATGGTGGCTGGTCTACACGTATTTGCAAAATAGCAAATTCCACCGTATAATTCCTATCAGCAGATACCCAATTTTCATCTGATGCAACATTTAATCTAAAACTGAAAAATTTACTTTGAACTGAGTTAATGAATTGTTTTAATTAACTCAGATGAAAATGGAGATTATAGACAGATGCAGATATCAGTTCTACAAAATATTTTCACCAGTAGACATTTTGGCGTGGGCAATGGCAGCTGATATGGGCATACATGTGCTGAGTCTAGTTACAATCACTTATATAATGCCAACAAGACAGAAAATTCTAACAAAACACAATTGAGAAATGGAAACGGCTTGTCAAAAAAGCTCAGCAGTCAATGATAAGTCCAAAGGTCCTGTATGCTCATTCCTTCCCTTATGTTGGATAATTAGAGTTCCATATGGTCTTTTTTTCTAACAGATTGGTGGGAGCTGACAAAACCAAAATATGGTAACATGAAACAGACAGATTTATAGCTGATTCTTTCAATATTTGTTAATTTCTTCCCTCTGCAGTATCAGTGGGCAACTGACCGCACAGGTGGTCACCAAAATATTAAAATGGAATGTCTTGCTTTCTTTAAACTCTGTCAAACTCTGTCTGCAGAATTAAACAAATGGGAGGTCCACAGGCCCATTCTCAGATCCCTATTTTATTTTTGCACTATTTTACCAAAGACTACATGTCACCATCGTGCATGTCCATCACACTTCATGGTTTAATTACATTCCTAGCCTACCAAGGAGGTAGTATAGGCAAGGATTGACAACATTGATTTAGCTCAACAATCTGTTATCACATGCCTAGCAACAATCAGGGGGTTAACTAATATCCATGCATGTATGATCGATAAACAGTCAAATGGGGTTTATTTAAATTCATCTTCTAGAACTTTGGTAAACTAGGCACAGAAAACATTAATTCTGTTTAAATATATTCATGTCTGTTTTGAGCCATTAGAGACAACTCATGCTTGAATCAGATTCAATCATTCCATGGGTTAAACAGGGCCAACGTAAGAGCACAACAATTTGTAGTCCATGTGATGATATATGGAATGGGCCAAGGTTTCATCAGAAATCGTGCTCTATCACTGTAATAATGCTGTGTTTTTATGAGCACACAGCCACTAAAGAGTTGCTGCTATGTCACTTTGACAGTTTTAACTTGAATCCTTAAAAATGCATATAACTATCTAAAGCACAGTTTAGTGTTTTTCTTTATTTTTTTTTACAAAAATACACCTAGACAAACACAGATTGCAGTATGGCTAGCACATCATTACTTGGGGGAAACGCAAAGGACTCCAAAGCACAAAAATGTTGGCATAAACTAGCTTGATGATGATGGCATGGTCGCACATTTTGCAGATACTGCTTTCTTTGTTAATGTATGTGCTTCCCACGTTTTCCCAGTAGAGATTTTACATTGCTGCCATTAAATCCTGCATTAACAAGACTGGGCAGTTTACTGGGATTCAAAATTCAAATTGGTCTAGACCAGGGGTTCCCAACCCAGTCCTCAAGTACCCGCTACCAGTCCACGATTTAGGGATTACCCTATTGTGTTCAAAGTGTTTTATTTTATTTTCTAAAAACACTTTAGACAAAGCTTAGTAATCCCTAAATCCTGGGTTGTTAGGGGGTATTTGAGGACTGGTTTGCAAACCACTGGTCTAGACTGATAACAAACAAGGTTATTCACCAGAGTGTAAATTGATGAAGCACTGAATGTGAATTTAAACTTTAGACAACAATAACTGGACTATAAAATATTCTCCAAGACATATAATTTCAATGTGTCTGTTTTGGGTTTTTAGTTTGAATATCACTTTGAATTTCCAACAAATGACACTTTATTGAAAAGTCTTGAGACAACAGAAAGTTTTATTGATGCGGAGTAATGTGTTTGTTGTAGATAATGTGTTGTGTGTGTATATTTTGTCAGTATTTGAACATGATGTACCTATGAATGGTGAACAATCAAGAATTTCACCTTCAATCTATACTGCCTTGCCCAAACATATTTTTGTGGTAATGAAATAAAGAAACAAACTGCTTTAACTCTGTTTTGGAACTGAGCTGGATATTTTGTAATCATATTTATTAAAGTGGTTTAAAAAGTGATTTTTCTTTATGATAAATTCTACCACTTTTCACAGACATTTTAGAAGATGCCAGAGAAATCAAATAGTCCACTTTTCTAAAATAAAAGATAAAAGAGGTTGCTAGCGCTCACAATATCCAAATGTGAAAGGCAACTGTTGCCCCAAACCAGAGTCTCTCTTGTCTGGTCGTTGACATGGAGTAGAGGAAATTAAAAATTGGGAGAAGCGCCGTGGAGGGGTCATCAAATTCCAAGTGGCATGTAGTGGGAAAAGAGAGGAGAAATATATGGTGCAGTATGTCAAATTTCCAAATTAAAAACTGCCCAGGTGCTATGCCTAGAGCTAGGAGATATCTCCCAACACTGTAAGTGTATTCCCTTCTGTTTTTAATTTGGATATTTGACATATTGCACCTTATATTTCTCCTCTCTTTTCCCACTACAGTCCACTTTTCTCTTGGCAAGATTAATGAAAATATATATAATTCTGTTGTTTTGCCAGAAAAAATGTTGTATAGTCGAAATTATGGCTAGCAAGCAAACTGAGCAACAGCTGAAAAAATATGACAAATTTAATAAATTGCAACAAAGAATATTTTTAAAGTGCTGATCAAACTTATTTTTCTCCTTATGTTCCTGTTTTTCCTTCTGCAATGCAACATGTGCTCTGGCTGTGCCTAGATTGAATTGGATTGGGATTCCATTTGCTAAATCTATAATATACCTTTTAAAGAAAAAGTGTACATGAAAAAATGTTAATATAAGGTATAGGTGATTTTCAATGTATTTCCCTTTAAGAAAAAAAATAACATGGTTTAAGCAGGTAAGCGGGTAGTAAGTTATCTTTTTTTGGTTAGTCTTCCTTCAGTTGTTTGGGATAATTCTCCTCTTGGGGTAAATTAACCATGTGTTAAAAATCATTATTATTCTTACTACTAGATGACTAAATCAAGTCTCAAAATATTTACTCGCCCACTAGCCATTTGCGAGACAAAATGCAGCCCTGGTAAGTAGAAATTCAGCTTTGGGTAATGTACCTTGGACCTTCCAGGTTCCACATGGCGAGTAGCCCTTTCTAGTAGTGTAGCATACCACCTGACATCAGTAAGTCCCAAAATCAGAAAGCCGGTGGAAGGGGAGTAGAGGGGCCGGGCCAGTAACGTGATTGTGTCTCTGACTCCGTCCAGAAGAGGCCATCGTGCTGGAATATACACCAGGCTGCCTACCAATCATGTCAACCAGCCCACCAAGGGCAGAACATGCAGGGAGCACTGTGCAGCAGGCCCGGACTGGCCATCGGGCATACCGGGCAAATGCCCGGTGGGCCGCGATGGCCGTGGGGCCAAGGCCGGCAGGGGAGATCACAGGATCTCCCCGGCCGGCCCCTGCAGGGCCAGCGCTATCCGAGCGCCAGCCCTGCTATGTGAATCCATGGGCCGGTGGGGAGATCACAGATCTCCCTCACCGGCCCAGAGGCACTGTTACATGCGGCCGCCGGCTGGGTGAGGGAGGGAGGCAGGAGAGAGGACCCGGCGGAGCTCTAACAAGCAGCTCCGCCCGGTCCTCTCGCGGGATTCTGATCTCGCGAGAGTGAACTCTAACCTGCAGGTTAGAGTTCACTCTCACCACTGGACCACCAGGGAAGGCAGCATGGTCTCCTCAAGGCTCCCCCTCCCAGGCAGAACGGCTCCCTCCCCCTCCCAGGCTAAATGTAAGAAGGGAGGGGGAACATAACTTTTTTTTTTTTAATTATAAATAATTATTAATTATAATAATATTATAATTATTAATAAAATAAAAAATATATATTTCAAATAATTTCCCTAACAGCCCCCCCAGACACACACAGCCCCCCAGCCCCAGACACACACAGCACCCCAGACACACACACACAGCACCCCACAGACACACACAGCACCCCACAGACACACACACACCCCACAGACACACACACACCCCAGCACACACACCAGACACACACAGCACCCCACACACACAGCCCCCCAGACACACACAGCACCCCCAGACACACACAGCCCCCAGACACACACAGCACCCCCCAGACACACACAGCACCCCACAGACACACACACAGCACCCACAGACACACACACAGCCCCCCAGACACACACAGCACCCAGACACACACAGCACCCCACACACACAGCCCCCACCCCCAGACACACACACACAGCCCCCACAGACACACACACAGCACCCACAGACACACACACAGCACCCCACAGACACACAGCACCCCACAGACGCACACAGCACCCAGACACACACAGCACCCCACAGACACACACAGCGCACCCCCAGACACACACAACACCCTCAGACACACACAACACCCTCAGACAGACAGCACCCTCACTCCCACACATATACAGCACATATATTATATAAAAAAAACCCTCAGTGAGTTAACAGACAAATAAAATTAGAAACCCAGAATGTGACGGCAGATAAAAACACCCTCACACACAGCACCCCTCTTACACAAACACGCTGCGCACCTCACACATACAATACGTCCAAATATATTTTATATATATATATATATATATATATATACACAAAAATCAAAACTGAGGATGCACTCACAGGACTTGGTTAAAGTGAAAAAAAGGGACTTTTAATTATTCCATGTGAAATGTACAGAAAAATCAATTTTCCATTCACATGGAATAATTAAAAGTCCCTTTTTTTACTCCACCTTGAACCCAAGTCAGTTTTGTGAGTGCATCCTCAGTTTTGATTTTTGTATATTTCTGACGTTTGGGATATAGCACCCAGGCTATTAGTTCTTTCTTATTACTTAAAGGAGAGTGCCAAGCATCCTGTTTTTTTGAGATTATATATATATATATATATATATATACACACACTACAGCACCCCTCACACTGCACCACTACACACATTACGCTCCAGATACATGCTAGATCCCTTACCCTATATGCACTCTTAACCCTCTACACACACACACAATCTTCTATACACACTCTGGGTCCTTTACACACTAGATCTCTTACACACACACTGCACCACCCACACACACACTACATTCCTTGTAAGCAAACACATACAACATTATCTAAACACACCCTCTCTACACACAGTAGTGTGTGTGTATAAGTGACACACACTATGTCACCTATACACACACACTACTGCCCGTATGCACACACTCGCTACATCCCCTATAACACTATGCCCCTATACACGCACTCTCTACAGCCCCTAGCCACACATATTACACCACAAAATTGACCTATTTACACAATACCACACCACACTCTACACACAGGCAATCCCACAAGCATGCGCCAAACACATGCACCATACACTTTCCTGGCCCTTTTGTCCTCTGGTATCCCACTTGTGGAGACACCAGAGACAATTTAAAAGCAAACACAGCGCAAACATGTTATTACATTTGCTTGCGCTGCGCAGAACAAATACAGGGCCTTTTTCTAATGCTAGAGCTCTTCAGCGTGGCTCTGCGCATTGAACCAACATGCTCACTTTCTCTGGCCCCGCCCCCTTTTTGGGGGGCCGCTCTAATTGAAAAATGCCCGGGTCTAATTTTTTTCCTAGTCCGGCCCTGCTGTGCAGGGTCATATTATCCTAAAATAGCACAAGCAAAGAACATAGAATGTGACAGCTGAGAAGAACCATTCGGCCCATCTAGTCTGCCCAATTTTCTAAATACTTTCATTAGTCCCTGGCCTTATCTTATATCTAGAATAGCCTTATGTTTATCCCACTCGTGCTTAAATTCCTTCACTGTGTTAACCTCTACTCCTTGCACTACCCTCTCAGTAAAGCAATACTTCTAATATTTGTTTTAAACCTTTGCCCCTCTAACTTAAGACTATGTCTTCTTGTGATAGTCTCCTGAAAAAAATCTCCATCGTGTAAGTTCATTGTCTCACTGGGAGGGAGTCTGACAACCTCCACTCCTGGTAACCAGCTGCAGCTGAAGAGGGAGGCTGAAACTCTCCTCTCACTGTATCACAAGCAGCTGTAAAGGAGTGAGGCCAAAACTCTCCACTACTGGTAATTCGACACTCTCCACTCCCGGTAACACAGGCTGCCGCTTGGAGGGAGACCAGCTATCTCCACTCTCGATAACACCAACTGCCTCTGGGGAGGCAGACCGGGTTGTGATCTCCCATTGGGGAGGGAGACTGGACATCTCTGCTCCCAATAAAATGATATGCCACTGGGGAGAGAGATCGGCTTTCTTCGCTTCTGATGCTGCACCCTGCCGCTGAGGAGAGGGACTGACTATTGCCACTCCTGGTGAGACCAACTTCCACTGGGAAAAGAGTTTCATGCTCTCCTCTCCCTGAAGGACCAACTACCATTGGGGAGAAGGGCCAAAACTCTCTGCTCCCGCTAACACCAACTGGGGAGAATGAATGGCTTTCATCGCTCCCGGTTGCTCTCGCTACCGCTAGAGAGGGAGGCCGATACTCTCCTCTCCCTGAAGAACCAACTGCCAATGGGGAGGGAGACTGACTGTCTCTACTCCAGGTAACTCACTCTGTCTCTGTCGAGGGAGGATGATACTCTCCTCTCCCATGGTTGTAAAATCCAGCAAATCACCAGTTCGAAGGCCTGCTGCTGAACCGAGTCACAAAGTTGCCAGTAGGCCTGTTGCAGCTCCCTCTCCCTGGTTCCCAGATGTGTCAGGTCTGGTCCCAGCCCGGTTGCTACCAAGAAATCAAGCAGGTCTTCCTTGTTGCGGATGTCCTAGAATTGAAACTCTCCAGGCCTCCTAAACTTGATGTCCTCAAAGGCCTCCCACAACAGGCCAGGGCCATTGTAAACCTCAGCCACGGGCCTGTTATCCTCATATGGGGTTGCTGCATTGGTGCTAACTCACTCCATCTCCACGAATTCCAGGAGGCAAAAACAAAAAGTTAGCATTTAGTAATTATAAAAAAAAACCAGAGTGAGGAAGATAGACAGATCTATAAGATTAGGCAGAAAGAGGCAAAGCCTCCAAAGCACACACAGAAGAGAGAATAGCACAGTCAGTAAAAAAAAGGGGATAC